TCACCGAGAGGTCTCTGGTTTGACTCCCAGTCAGGGCAGGTGCTCAGGTTATGTGCTCAGTCCCTGGTCAGGGCATGTACAGGAGATAACCAAATGATGTTTCTCTCTCTCTTCCTCCCTCTTCTTTCCTCTCTCTCTCAAATCAATAAAAACACATTAAACAGAAAAAAATAAATTTATGTTTAAAATACTTTTTAAAAGGAACTAGGCAGAGAGGGTGTATCCCGCTGTACCGGCTTCCAGAGAAGAGCGTGGCAAGGGGGAGCAAGACTGGATGCAATACATGGGCCCCTGCACAATGCGGGGTCAGAGGCACCCGCCCCCACACCATCCAAAATCCGTGAATAGCTCTTCCGGTCCCTGGCGATTCGGGGGCCGCAGGCTTCTGTGCAGAGATGGCCACGTCCAAGAACCACACTGCGCACAACCAGACCCGAAAATGGCACAGGAACGGCCTCAAGAAACCCCCGTCCCAAAGATGAGAATCTCTTAAGGGGGTAGACCCCAAGTTCCTAAGGAACATGCGTTTTGCCAAGAAGCACAACAAGAAGGGCCTGAAGACGATGCAGGCCAACAATGCCAAGGCCATGAGCACGCGTGCTGAGGCCATCAAGGCCCTGGTCCATCCCAAGGAGCCAATGTCCCAACGGGCAGCAGCTGCAAACTCAGCCGACTCACCTACATCTCTCACCCCACCTTGGGAAGCATGCTCCTGCCACACTGCCAAGGGGCTCAGGCTCAGCCGGCCAAAGGCCAAGGCCAAGGCTGACACCAAGCCCCAGGCGGCAGGTGTGGCTGCGGCTCAGGCTCCCAAAGGTGCCCAGGCCCCACGAAGGCTCCATGTCACTCTGTCTGCTGACGTGACGACGGAAGGACTGGTGGGGCCCCTGGGCTGCTGTCCTGTGCTGTTTGTACAAATAAACCTACGGTGGATCTGTCTTGTCAAAATAAATAAATAAATAAATAAATAAATAATTAAAAAAATCCGCCGAGACTGGTTTGGCTCAATGGATGGAGCGTCGGCTTGGGGACTGAAGGGTCCCGGGTTCGATTCCGGTCAAGGGCATATACCTTGGTTGCGGGCATATCTCCAGTAGGGGGTATGCAAGAGGTAGCTGATCGATGACTCTCTCTCATCGATGTTTCTAACTCTCTATCTCTCTCCCTTCCTCTCTGTACAAAAACAATGAAATATATTAAAAAAAAAAAATCCATGTATAGCCCTAGCTAGTTTTAGGATCGATCCAAAATGGGGTGTGCAGGAGGCAGCCGACCTATGATTCTCTCTTCATCATTTATGTTTCCATATCTCTCTCCCTTTCTCTCTGTAATCAATAAAGATACACTTTTGTAAAGAGTCCTTAAAATAAAATAAAATAAAATAATAAAAACTGATTTCAGGCCCTAGCCAGTTTTTCTCAGTGGATAGAGCATTGCCCTGCGGATTGAAGGGTCTCAGGTTCGATTCCGGCCAGGGGCACAGGCCCAGGTTGCGGGCTCGATCCCCAGTGTAGGGTGGGCAGGACACAGACAATCAATGATTCTCTCTCATCAATGGTCTTTCTATCTATCCCTTCCTCTCTAAAGTCAATAAAAAATTTTATTTCAGCTTATTTTAGATGAATTGAATTAAAAAATATTAAGTAAATATGTAATAATGTAGGTGGAGTGTGCATATGGGAGGGATTACGATGTGGTGTGAGAAAGACTGAGGTTTGGAAGCACCAGCATGCTAATTCCTCCTCTTCGCTCGGGTCAGTTTAACTGTCTCCTCCCCAGGATGCGGGGAGAGGGACCATCCCTTTCCCCTCTTCAATCTTGGCTGGATGCCGAGTCACATGCTCTCCAAACTCTGTTTTCCACCTGTCCTTCCTTATCAAAGTTATTTTGGAGGCAAGTGACTGCATCCCGGGTCCAACTGTTCTGGGAAGCTCAGTGGGAATATGTAGGCTCTCAAAGCCAGCTTCAGGCACAGCTGGATCTAGGTGTCTAAATGACGTCAAGCAGACATCTCTGTCCATCAGCTGGCTACCTTTCCCATGCGTTGGTCTCATTCTTAGGAAATCTCTCGTCTCGTGGTAGAAAGAGGGCCTCTGCAGCTGCACACTTAGACTCCTTAGCAAACCCAGCAGAAGGAAAAGGCTTGAATCCCCAGAATTCTAATAAAAGTCCTCAGAATGCTCCTCCTTGGTGTGCTTTGGGTGGTATGCCCATCTCTCCAGCAATCTCTGAAGGATGGGATGGAATGGCTCTGATTGGCCAGGCTTGGGTCACCCTCTAGCCCTCACCCAATCCCTGTGGTTGGAGTATGGAGTGCTCTGATTGGCCGGGCTTGGGTCACCCTCTAGCCCTCACCCAATCCCTGTGGTTGGAGTATGGAGTGCTCTGATTGGCCGGGCTTGAGTGCCTCACTTCTCTGGACCCGTGAGGAGGTTGGTGTCGCAAAGGAAGCCACAGGGGCTGTTAGCTAAATAAGAGAGATGAATGCTGGGTGAGCAGAACCCACAGAGTCCTCACCCACATGACGGATGGTTATTAAACGTGTTCTAATTATTATATTTGCTTATCACCCGTCAGGGGTCCCCGGGCCTGAGTAGTCCCCCTGGCAGAGGCAAAAATCATAAAAGAGGCATAATTGCTAATGTAAACAGAGACATAGCCAAGTCCCTCGACATGGACCCTTTAGAGTAGGGGTGTCGAACTCAATCAGAGAAGGGGCCAAAATCGAAAATCCAGCCTAAATCGCGGGCCGAATGGTTTACTGAACAGTCATAAACTGTCATTGTGATGGAAACGCAGCGGAGTGCAGTGATGACAGCGCAGTGCGAGCCACATTGCAAGGCCTGGCGGGACGGATTTGGCCCGAGGGCCTTGTGTTCGACACATGTGCTTTAGAGACTCGTGGCTGGAACCTTGCCCCAGGGTGGAATTCGGATCTCACTGGGGAAAAGCCTGAGCTTCTGAGTCAGATCTGCATCCAGTTCTCAAAGCCCTCATCATCCACACTCGCTTATTAATTCACTAGGAAGATATTTTTATAGCACTAACGGCCTGCCAGGTGCTTACAGTTCTATGGGGACACCGCTGTGACTGACAAAATCCGTACCTTCTGGATCTGAGCTGGCCCTGGGGGCGGGAGAGAGATCATTAAGAACAGGATAAAGAAATAATTTCAGGTAGTAGTGAATACTGTAATAAAATAAAATAAAATAAAATAAAATAAAAAATAATAAAATAAAATAAAACAAAATATAAAATAAAACATTGTATCTTGCTAGTGTGGAGGAAAGGGGCCACATGCTAACCGGACAAGCTCAGGGGAGGCCTGCATGGCAGGCGGTCTTGCAAACTCAGAGACCTGAAGGAACCACAGAGGATGGTCTGAAATGATCTTGAACCAAAAGCAGTGATGGTGGGCAGTTACGTCCTAGGCTGATGTCTTCACTGACGAGGTCAACCTTTAATTTTAACTGAGCCTCTCTGTCTTTTTGCATCTATGATGACAAATCCTTGAAATCTCTGGGTAACTTGTAACTTCCCTTTTTCCGGACCCCTTGGGATACAACCTAACAGGTACCACAAATTCCTTCATTGTTATTGTTATCGTGTCGACTGTTCCTGCATCCCCCTAAGTACGTGTCCATCATTTTACTTTTTATCCAGTCCCAGAGGTTTCCCCCACTTTGCTTTCTCCCGCCCCTCTAGTCTATCAACAATGGATTTCACGTGACCCACCTACGTCCCCTCCTTTGCTTGCAATGTATAAATACAGATGTAACCCGCCTTTCTCCGGAGCATTGTCTCAGTTCATGGAGGTTTTGCTTTCTGGCAATTGTCGACAGTTTGGCTCAAAATAAACTCACAAAAATTCCTTACAGGTTGGAATGTTTTTTCCGTTGACACTAGCGGGGGGCTGGGGGCCTGCCTTGCAGCCGGCCTTGGGAAGGCCTTTTCGAGGCGCTGCTGTTTGATTGGAGACCGGACTGTGTCAGCCGTGAGATGCTTTGGGGGTGGCTCTCAGAAGGGGGAGCCGCAGTGCGAGGGCACCGAGGCGGCGCCCCCAGGAACGGGCAGAAGCCACTGGGAGGGGCTGTGTGATGGCCGGTGAGTCACTCGGTCTCTGTGCACCACTGGGCAAGAGAAATATCATGCCGACCCCTCAAGAGGCTCTGAGGCTTCCGTCAGACACAGACTGAGAGCTTGTGCTGTGCCCGGCCTGCAGTGGGTGCTGGGCCCTGGGTGCTGGGCTCCGCCACCACCAGCTGTTCGGGCAATGAATGCAACTGTCCATTTATTTGAGGAGGAAAGCACGGGCTCGGGGAATCAAAGGGTGAGAGAAAGGCGCTTTCGTGGCTTATCCTTCCAGAACCCAAAATGCAGGGTACAGTCTGAGCACGGCCCTGACACTGGGCCTCTGAGCGGCCCCAGGACATCCGGAGACCAGCGGTAAGAACTAGGTAATGTTGCTGCCATCGCTGCCACCGCTCACTGAGCACCTGCCACCTGGCAGGCACTCTGCCGAGTCCCCGATGTCCGAGGGCCCCTCCGACTCCGGGGTGGGCGCCAGGAACAACACCCCGTTCCACAGAGGAGGGAAACTGAGGCCCGGAGCTGACAGCACAGAGCCTGGAGCGAAGCCAGGAAGCAGCGAGGCCCCCCTCCTGCTTCCCTCTCCCCCGCACCCCGCACCCGGCACCCGATGACCTTTGGCCATTACTCACCTCTGACTTGGGGTGATCATTGGGCCCCACCCTCTGCCTTTATCACTTTCCCAGCGTGGGGAGGGGGGGGAGGGTGTGCAGAGAGGGAGGGGAGCAAAACCTCAGAGCCCCTCTTCCAGGAGCCCTGCTCCCCGCTGCTCCCCACCCCTCACCCCCACCGACCCCCTGCTGAGAAGAACTGAGAAGCCTGCAGGCCTGGAGGTGGCTTTCCAGCCCGCAGCTGGAGGCTGGGACATGGGGGGGGGGGCAGGGGAAGTAGGGGAGTGGGGGTGTGGCCCGGGCAGGGGCAGGGCCAGGGCAGAGTACTTGGCCCTGAGCTGCCCAGGAAACCCCACTCCTGACGGGGCGAGCTCCCGCTGTGCCCCTGAACAGAATCGGCATGAGGCGCCCCCTGTACACCGGCCCCGGCCGCGGCCCTGCCTGGGACGGACTGCTGCTCACAGGTGCGCGTGCGGGGGACAGGGGTGCCCCTCGGCTCAGGGACCGGGGAGGGGCGCCCCTCGGGGAGTTTCCATCCCAGTGAGAGGTGCCCCACTCAGAGCTGCGGCTCTGGGCACTCAGATGCCCCACTCTGAGCTGCCCACCTGTGCTATGGGCCCCTCTCATAAAGGGGGAAACGGAGGCTCAGGCAGGCCCGGCGCCCCCTGCACCAGATCACAGGGCTGGCAAGGACCCCGCCCCAGCCCCTTCCACCAGCCCATCTCACCCAGCTCTGCCCCTCTAATCGTAATTTTTAAGTGGCGATAGTGTCCATCGTAAAATAACTGCAACCCTGGTACAAAGAGGCCTTTGTGACCGAGCTCAGGAGCTTTCACTGAGCACCGTTTCATTCCTGACCCCGTGGTGCAGGGCTGGATGGATCCCGTTCCACAGAGGGGACACTGAGGCACAGGAGGTCATGTACCGTCCGTGGGCCACACAGCAGGGAAGTGCAGAAGGGGGATTTGACCCCCGTGGAGAGCCACACTCATCCACCGCTCAGACAATAAGGGGTTTCCCTCCTTCCCCAGGTCTGGTCCAGTCCGGTTCTGGGTCACTTCAAAACCCCGACTTCCCCGGGTTAATGCTCTGCTTGCGCCCAGCCGGGCCTGTGTCAGGCGGTCGTGGGGGCAGCACAGGACAGGGCGGGCCTGTCTCACGGCCTTTTTCCCTGCCCGGAGCTGTGGTCTGTGCATCCCCTCCCCAACCCCCCCTCCCCCCCAGGCCATAGGCACAGGGGGAAGGAAGAGGGGGGGTTTCTGTTCTCTGGTCACAGTTGTAAGGGGGGGGGCGGTCTGTGTGGCTGGGGCACGGTTTGTGACTGGAACTTCCTGGGTGAGGACACTTCCTGGGTGAGGGGCGCTTCCTGGGTGAGGGGCGCTTCCTGGGTGAGGGGACCTTCCTGGGTGAGGGGCGCTTCCTGGGTGAGGGGACCTTCCTGGGTGAGGGGCGCTTCCTGGGTGAGGGGCGCTTCCTGGGTGAGGGGACCTTCCTGGGTGAGGGGCGCTTCCTGGGTGAGGGGACCTTCCTGGGTGAGGGGCGCTTCCTGGGTGAGGGGCGCTTCCTGGGTGAGGGACCTTCCTGGGTGAGGACACTTCCTGGGTGAGGGGACCTTCCTGGGTGAGGGGCGCTTCCTGGGTGAGGGGACCTTCCTGGGTGAGGGGACCTTCCTGGGTGAGGGACCTTCCTGGGTGAGGGGACCTTCCTGGGTGAGGGGCGCTTCCTGGGTGAGGGGACCTTCCTGGGTGAGGGGACCTTCCTGGGTGAGGGGACCTTCCTGGGTGAGGACACTTCCTGGGTGAGGGGCTTCCATGCAGTGGCCCCCGGAGGCTCGCTGCCACCTCCCGGCCCCCTCCAGCCTCTTTCTGCCACTGTCGCAGGGCCACAGGCCAGCAAGCCCGGCCGTGAGGGTCCTGAAGAACAGCCTGCAGGGCCCTCTGCTCAGGCTCCACCCTGGCCGGCGGGGATCGCGGGGGCACCTTTGCTGTTCCCTCAGTTGTTGCAGGAGGGCCGTGTCCCCCCAGCCCTCTGTTCCTCCGCCCTCCCCTGGCCTGGCGGGCGGGTGTGTGTGTATGTGTGTGTCCCCAGCCCTCACCCCTGGAAGGACTCAAGTTCATTCTCAATCTCCCCCTCTCCCCATCCCAGCTCGGCGTCCTTCTCTCCATGGGCTCGTTCCTGTGGATGTTATTCTGTGTCAGTCTCAGGCCCACAGCATAGCGGTCAGGCACCGGACACGTGTCCCCGATATTTCCAGGACCCGCCTGGCCCCGTGCACAGTCTTCCCGGGCTGTGTCTGCGGGCCGGGGAGAGCCCTGACTCAGAGGTCAGAGGTGAAACAGAAGAGCCACAGGCCCTGGCTCAGCCGAGACGCCCCCTCCGCCTGCCGGGCCCAAACATACCCGCTGTTTTATTTACTCACTTCAGTGGATACTATTCAGGGCGGGGCAGAAGGAGGTTTACAGCTGTTCATACTGAAAATACTATGATAATAAATAATAAAAGAATAAACTGTGTTTCGTATACTCACAACCGTAAACCTACTTTTGCCACACCCTTTATAGAAATACATTTTATTTTTTTTTAATATATTTTATTGATTTTTTTACAGAGAAGAAGGGAGAGAGATAGAGAGCTAGAAACGTCGATGAGAGTAACATCGACCAGCTGCCTCTTGCACACCCCCTACCGGGGATGCACCCGCAACAAGGTACATGCCCTTGACCGGAATCGAACCCGGGACCCTTCAGTCCGCAGACCGACGCCCTACCACTGAGCCAAACCGGTTTCGGCTAGAAATACATTTTAAATATATGTAAAATATAGTTTCTGTTTATTAATGTAATTTATACTTTTCTTTATGCTTATGTAGTATTAATTATAAATTGATATATCATAATCTTATACATAACCATGTCATCTATGTAAAACAATCTATTACATTAATTACATATTATATGATGTATAATTATATAATAATGTTAGAATAGTTATGTGTGATGGTTTTATTAATCTTTTCTTTATGAATAGATTTTAGTTTAGGTATAAAATACCGAAGTTGGACTCTCCTCAGCCCTGAACATTCATGATCTCCCTGAATCGCAGGCACTCCTGTGAAACGGTTACTAATCAACCACCCACCTTGATAAGTGGGGAAACTGAGGCTCGGGCCCCAGAAGCAGCACGTGGCAGAGTCAGGGCTGTAAACCCAGGTCCAGAGGCCTCCGAGTCTGCAGAGGAAGCCAGACTCCCTCCGGCTGGAGGGAGCTGCTCAGCCCCGGGCTTCTCCTGAGGGTGTGGGGGCCCTACCTGAGCCCCAGGGCCCGACCCCGTCGTGTGCAGGACCGCTTCCAGCGCGGAGGCAGCAGGACTTGAAATCGGCCCCTTTGGTCCCAGGTTCAACCAGCACCGTTCGGTGCCCAGCCTGTGCTGGGGACAGAGCCTCCGGGGCTCACAGCTCAGAGGGAGAACACTCCCTCCCCCCGCAGACAGGATGACCCGCAGTGTGGGGGGCAGGAATGGGGTGAGGAGGGAGACCCAGGGCTCAGGGGTGAAGCTGGGGAGACGGTGACCAGGAAGAACCTTGCAAAGCCGTCCAAATCGAAATAACGGCCTCCGACAGGTCTGACATCAGGTGCGCAGGCGGCTTCCTTGTGCTCCTGTTTCATCAAAGCCCAAGAGTGCAGTTTGTGTTCCTCAAGACGAGACAGCAAAGCCCCGGGCAGGCACCTGGGTCTGACACCTCATTCCTGCCACTCTGAGGCGAGAGCTCCCGCCATCCCGTCCGGTCCGGGGAGGGCTCAGCACCCGTTGCCAAGCACAGCTGGCGCCAGGGGAGGCGTGAGGAGAGGGTGCCTGCGCCGAGGCTTGGACGGCAGCTGGAGAAGGAGTTGGAGGAGAACAGCTTCCAGGCGGGGGCACAGCGTGGGCGAAGGCTGGCGGCCAGAGCGCGGTGTGGAGATGGGTGTGACGGGTGCAGACACGAGGGAGGGATGGTGAGAAGAGCAGAGACATGGGCGGGGGTGCCAGGCCGAGGATCTGAGCAGGCCCTGCAGGCACCGGGGAGGCATGGAAGGCTTCTGAGCAGGCGCGGAGATAAGTAACACCAGGGAAGCAGGAAGAGAGAGCCGCCTGGGTCCTGGGGCTGGTGGTGGGACTGCTCCCGGCTCTGCCCTGCTGACCTTGGGTCCGAGCTGCAAGTGTCCTGTGTCTCAGTTTCCCAGCCTGTGGAACAGACCGGAACAGTGGTTCCCAACATGGGGGGCATTCGAGAACGAGTGATTAACAGTGAACTGTTTGCGTTTCTTATGGCTCTAGGGGCCTCAGATACAGCATATAAGTATATATTGTGACATATTTATGCATTTAAGACCTCTATTATGTTTTGGGACTTTATTTGCTATTTTTCATATCACTTTATATTATTATTATTTTTTTTTTTTTTAACAATTTCTCGGTGATGTCTTCCTCAGTCCTTCAACTGTCCTCTGGTTCTTTCATTTTCCTCTTTCGTGGATGCCACGTTCTTTGGGAGCTTGTTTAGACCAAGTTCATGGCCTTTTAGGCTTCCTCCACGGGAACAGGAGCTCGCCTTTTGAATAACCCTATATAACAAAAGGGTAATATGCAACTTGACCCCAACGGCAGAACGGCAGAATGACCACGTGACCAATCATGTGAGACCACCCCTCGCGGGCCCTGATTGCCTGATGGCGAATGGGGAGCTGGGGGGAGGGGGGGAAGGGACACAGGCTGCACCAGGCCCAGGTCCTGCCCCGCCAGTTGCCCCACACACAGAGGGCGACCCGTGGCGGAGGTGGGGCTGGCAAGCAGGTGGGAACGGCCAACCTCTCGGTCCTCCCCCACTCCCCCATCTCGGGCGGGCAGGCTCTGACAGCCAGGGAAGATGGCCCGGACACCGTAGGCCAGGCCTGGGGACCGTACCCCACACGGGTTCCATGCCCCGGGCCTCTGGAAAGAATTATGTGTCACGGGGTGGAGGGGCATCGGGATTCCAGAGATGCTTAGGTGGGGCTTGGCCAAAACATGTTGGGAACCAACCTCGGTGGTTGAGGGGCTCGGGGAGGCGATGGTGGGAGAAGGTGGCACAGTCCCTGGCACTCAGCCAGCATCTGGCGTCAGACCGCCTGGGGCTGCCCCGCGACCTCTCACCCCTTCCCGGGCTCCGCACGGTTGTCCATGCCGATGCTGCCGGCTGCGGGCGTCACCCCCAGCCTCTCCTCCTCACCACTTCCCAGGAGAGCGCTCAGCCTTCGTTCTATAAGCGAGCATTTCTGATCCTGAACATGGAACCCCTTATTTTATGACTTTATATCTTTAAAAGGCATATTTACAGTACATCCAGTACTTGTAATTATGGGGGTAATAATAATAATAATAAAGCCTTGACCAGTTTGGCTCAGTGGATAGTGTCAGCCTGCAGACTGAAAGGTCCCAGGTTCAATTCCCATCAAAGGCATGTACCTTGGTTGCAGTCACATCCCTGGTGGGAGGTGTGCAGGAGGCAGCTGATTGATGTTTTTCTCCATCGATGTTTCTGACTCTCTCTCCCTCTCCCTTCCTCTCTGTTAAAAAAAAAATCAATAAAATATATTAAAAAATAATAATGATGATGAAATTCCAGTCCTAATGTCAAGCATCTATCTGGCAGTCACCTAGTTAGCACACCATTGTAAGCACTTGACACGCGTTAGATCTGGGAAGCTTTAGTCTGCCCTCTGCGTGGGGTTGCACCAGCGGTGTGAGCTCCCTGTGCCCTCGGTCTCACTGACAGCTTCAGACTCGTGGACGTTGGCCAATCTGCTAGGCGCAAAGCATTCCTGTTACCTCCGCTTGTTTTCATTTCCGTTTATCTTGCTGTGAGCACAGCTGAACCTTGTCCCTATGTCAAGAGACGCTGTATTTTCTTTTCTCAGAATCACCTACCCATCTCTCCTGTATATTTCCCTGTTAGGTGGTTGGTATTGTTCTTATTGGTTTCTAGGAGCACTTGACGTATTAGAGAAGTGAGCACTTTGTCTGTGATATCAGTTGCAAATGCTTTTCCCTGGTAGGTCATTGTTATAGTGACTTTGTGTATGGTGGGTTTTGTTTTTTGTTTGTTTGTTTTTTAACTTTCATAGGAGTTTCTTTTTATTTTTGTCAAACTTTTCCGTCTTCTTGTTGTTAATTCTCACTCTGGGATATTTTTCTGTTGGTTTTTAGAGAGAATGGAAGGAAGAGGGAGAGACATAGAAAAACATGGCCGAAACCGATTTGGCTCAATGGATAGAGCGTCGGGTTGGGAACTGCAAGGTCCCGGGTTCGATTCCGGTCAAGGGCATGTACCTTGGTTGCGGGCACATCCCCAGTAGGGGGTGTGCAAGAGGCAGCTGATCGATGTTTCTAACTATCTCTCTCCCTTCCTCTCTGAACAAAAATCAATAAAATATATTTTAAAAAAGAAAAAGGAAAAGGAAAACATGGATGTGAGAGAGACACATTGATTGGTTGCCTCCTGCATTCCGGTCAAGGTACGTGCCCTTGACCAGAATCAAATCTGGGACCCTTCAGTCCATGGGCTGACGCTCTATCCACTGAGCCAACCGGCCAGGGCAAACTCTTCCATCTTTTATGGAAGGAGCTTGTGTTCTTACTGCAACCAGCACCATTCCAGGGAGAGGTCACAGAGTGGAGTGGGCAAGAGCAGAGGTCTGGAGACAGACTCCGAGGGCTCGGCTTTAAGCTCTGAGCGACTCGGAAATCTAATGAGAGGAAGTGAGAGAAACTGAGGGCGGGGACTCACTCCACAGTGCACTTCAGTGGCTGAGAATTTCGACTCCGTAGGTGCTGCTTACCGCCGGTCACATCCTGGGGAGAGGCCTTGAATCCTTTGCATCTTTGCTTCTTCGCCTCAAATAGGGCTGGAATGGCTGGATCGGTCAAGGTGGGGACAGGAAGGAGGTGGTGAACTCAAAGGGAGCAATGAGCAGGGTCTGGCAAAGGGACAGTTTGCAGAGGTGAAGGCAGGGTGTTGGTAAAGCGACATGGGACCTGCAGCACCCAGGGGCTCGCACCCGTGCAAGAGGGAGAGACAGACGACCGCCCAGTAGGACGCAGCCCACCTGTGCTGATGGGCTTTGTTCTATAAGCAGGCATTTCTTTTTTTCTTTTTTCTTTTAAAATATATTTTATTGATTTTTTTTACAGAGAGTGGAGAGAGAGATAGAGTTAGAAACATCAGTGAGAGAGAGACATCGATCAGCTGCCTCTTGCACACCCCCTACTGGGGATGCACCCGCAACTAAGGTACATGCCCTTGACCAGAATCGAACCTGGGACCTTTCAGTCCGTAGGCCGACGCTCTATCCATTGAGCCAAACCGGTTTCGGCAAGCAGGCATTTCTGATCCTTAACATGTAACCACTTATTTTATGACTTTATATCTTTAAAAGGCATATTTACAGCACACCCAGTACTTGTCATTGTGGGGGCAAGAATAATAACAATGATGAAAATTACAGTTCTATTGTCAAGCGTCTATCTGGCAGTCACCTGGTTACCACACCATTGTAAGCACTTGACACGCATTCTATTTGGGAGGGAGGGAGAGAGGGAGGGAGCTGTGGGACCGGCAACTGCAAGGTCACTCCCACGGTCAGAAGCAAAGGGCACGGGGCCACCGACCAGGGAGCTCAGAGAGGCCACAGAGCTCCCTGGTTACAGTGCGGCCGACCGCCCAGTGTAACGTGTGCGTCGTGGGGTCGTGGTATAAGGAACATGTGAGATAACACGTGTGCGGTGCTTAGAACCGTGTCTGGCTGACAAGAGGTTCTCACCGAATGTTCTTTTCCCATCCTACAATGTTTTTCATGATCCCTGTTGTGAACGTCAACTCTCCCTGTGCCGGCCTCGTCCTCCCCAGCACAGGAAGGGCTGCTGGGGGCGGCATCGCACCTTGGGTCCCACTTACTCCCCTCTTGTCTTCTCTCCCCACCCCCACCCCTCCTCCAGGCACCCTGCTCGCATCCTGCATCTGCCCTGCCTCCTCGGAGCTGCCCGCCTCTGCGCCTCCAGACACCGTGACAGAAGGAGCCGGGGCTCTCCTTCCTGTCCCCAGGAGCCGCGATGGCCTTCTCTCCACTTCCTGGTCCCGAGTGCACGAGGCCCAGCAAGACAGCCCGGTCTTCTCCCACGAGGGCCTCCGGGGGCCCGGCCACGCTGGCCGCGCGATGCCGGGTGCCCCAGCCAGCCCGGTCATCAGAAACATGACCAGCTACCCTGCGGTGCTGGACCCCAGGAGGGGACGCAGGAGTGTGGCAGAGCAGACACAGGACAAGGGTGAGTGGGGCTCAGAGCCGGGCCCATCAGAACCCCTTCTGTGCCAGCACTCAGTGGCTCCCGAACAAGGCCCCTCCGACGAAACCTTAAAATAGGAACCATCTCTTTAGTCCATGACTCCTCTGGACCGTTCTGGCCTCACTCGTATGTCTGTGGTCAGCCAGGGAGGGCCAGGGCCCTGACAGGTCCGGGGTGGCCACTGCCATATGCCCGGCAGTGGCCTGGCATGTTCACAGATAGGAAGAATTAAATCATTAAAATGTTCATAATCCGAAGCAATCTATAGACTCAATACAATTTCTCTCCAGATACCATGGTGTATTTCAAAGAACTAGAACAAATATCCTAAAAATGTATCTGGAACCACACACACCTAAAAACAAACAAACAAACAAACAAACAAATCTAAGTAGCCCCAGCAATCTTGAGAAAAAAGAACAAAGAGAGAGAAATCACACTACCTATTATCAAACTATATTCCTCAATGCCATAGTAATCAAACAAGCATGGCACTGGCATAAGAATAGGCATATAGCCAAAACCGGTTTGGCTCAGCGGTAGAGCGTTGGTCTGCGGACTGAAAGGTCCCAGGTTCGATTCCGGTCAAGGGCATGTACATTGGTTGTGGGCACATCCCCGGTAGGGGATGTGCAAGAGGCAGCTGGTCGATGTTTCTCTCTCATCGATGTTTCTAGCTCTCTATCCCTCTCCCTTCCTCTCTGTAAGAAAAATCAATAAAATATATTAAAAAAAAAAAAAAAGAATAGGCATATAGATCAATGGAACAGAATAGAAAGCCTGGAAATAAACCCATTAATATTAATTAATATTTGTCGAAGGAGGCAAGAACATACCATGGGGTAAAGATAGTCTGTGCAATAAATGGGGGAAAATGGACCGATATGTGCAAAAAAAAAACCAAAAAAAAACCAACTCGACCAACTGCTTACATATACACAAGAATAAACTCAGCCCTGGCTGGCTTGGCTCAGTGGATAGAGCATCATCCTACGAACTGAAGGGTCCCAGGTTCAATTCTGCCCAGGGGCACATGCCTGGGTTGTGGGCTCGATCCCCAGCAGGGGGCGTGCAGGAGGCAGTGGATCGATGATTCTCTCTCATGATTGATGTTTCTCTCTTTTCTTCTCCCTTCCTCTCTGAAATCAATAAAGAAATATATTTTTTAAAAAGTTAAAAAAAAAAAAAAGAAAGAAAGAAAAAACTCAAAATAGTTTAAAGACTTAAATGTTAGACCGGAAACAATGACAATGATAGGAGAAAGAATAGACAGTAAAATCTCGGACATTTCTTGTAGCAATATTTTTTCTGATATATCTGCATGGGCAAGGGAAACAAAAGAAAAATAAATGGGAATACATTCAACTAAAAAAGTTTTGCATAGCCAAGGAAACCACCAACAAAATGAGAGACAACCCACTGAATGGGCAAACAGATACATCTGATAAGGGGTTAATATCCAAAATTTATAAAGAACTTACAAAACTCAACACCAGCCCTGGCTGGTGTGGCTCAGTTGGTAGGCCATCATCCTGTACACTGAAAGGTTGCTGGTTTGATTCCCAGTCAGGGTCCATGCCCGGGTTACGGGTTCAATCCTCAATTAGGACATTGCAAGAGGCTGCTTATCAATGTTTCACTCTCTCTCTCTTTTTTAAAAAATATATTTTATTTATTTTTTATAGAGAGGAAGAGAGAGGGATAGACAGTTAGAAACACTGATGAGAGAGAATCATCGATTAGCTGCCTCTTGCACACCCCCACTGGGGATGTGCCCACAACCAAGGTACATGCCCTTGACCGGAATCGAACCCGGGATCCTTGAGTCCACAGGCCAACTCTCTATCCACTGAGCCAAACCGGTTTCGGCTCAATGTTTCACTCTCATATCAATGTTTTTCTCTCTGTGTCTCCCTTCCTCTCTCTATAAAACAAAACAAAACAAAAAATCACCTTTTAAAAAACAACAGCAGCCCTAACCAGTTTGGCTCAGTGGATAGAGCGAATCTTGGGTTCTATTTCAGTCAAAGGTACCTCAGTTACAGGCTCAATCCCCAACCCTCCTTGGGGTGCATGCGGGAGGCAACCAATCTGTGTCTCTCTTGCATCTATGTTTCTCTCTGTGTGTCTCTCCCCTTCCACTCTCTCTAAAATTCAATGGAAAAATATCCTCGGGTGAGGGTTAACAACAACAACAAACCACACACAAAAAAAGAAAACAATAGAAATTAAAAGACAAAAAAAAAAGGAAACAATCCGATTTGAAAATGAGCATAGGACCTGAATAGACACTTCTCCAAAGAGAACATACCGATGGCCAATAGACATATGGAAAGATATTCAACATCACTAGTCACTAGAGAAATGCAAGTTAGAATAACAGTGAGATATTACCTCACACCTGTCAGAATGGCTATCCTATACAATAAAAGCCTAATATGCAAATTGTTCCCTCTGGTGATCGTTCAACAAGGAGATGGGGAGTTTGACCACTTGCTATGACAGGTGCTGACCACCAGAGGGCAGTACAGAACATGGCAGGCTTTGGCAATGCCCTGCAACCTCTCACTGGCTACCTGGGGGCAGGGGTGACGGGGATAGAGGTGCGGTAAGAATGTGGGGTGCCTGCCGAGCTCACTCTTACACCCCCTGGTACTCTTCCCTGGAATACCAGGGCTCATTTGCTGGGAGCCCCCTCCGGCCCCACCACCACCACCACCACTCAGATGCTGGGTGCCTGTGCAGCCCCTTCCGGGTGAGCTGGGCTCATGCAGGAGCCGGTGTGGGAGGCCAGCTGGGAGAGAGCGTGCTGCCCGCCTGGCTTCTGTGCCCTGGCCCACATTGTCTGGCTGCGCTCTCCGCATCTCCGTGTGGGGACTCGGGCACCGTGACTCAGGCTGAGGGGACCGCATGGGGGCCCAGGGGCCCATGTCCTGCCCAGGACCTGCCCTTCCACAGCAGGTGCTTGCACCGGCACCAAGCAGCCGCTCTGAGCCTATAGGCCCATGCATAGGCAGAGCAGTTGGGGTCGGGGCGGGAAATCCCCCACAGTGAGCAAGCAGACAGCAGGGCCATGCTTGCCCCTGGCTGTGGCAACAAGGGGAAAGCAGATCCACACAGAGAGCAGACACCAGGGCCTGCAGGCAGGTCCGCAGAGAGCAGAGAACCACGGGGAGCAGGACTACGCCATTAGTAGGACATCCCCTGAGTGCTCCCAGATTGGAGAGGGTACAGGTTGGGCTGAGGCACCCCCACCCCCACCCATGCACGAATTTCGTGCACTGGCCCCCTAGTGGGAGTTATGTAAATATCCCAGCCCCACCGCCCCAGCTGGCCCAGGGAGAGGCGAGGAGCTGGGGAGTGGTTGCATTCTGGACTATTTTGAAGGCAGAGCCCCCAGGATTTGCTGATGGATTAGATGTGGGTGGGGGAGAAAGAGGGGAGTAAAGGGGGCCTCTGAGGCTTGGGGCTTGAGCCTCTGGCTCCTGGGGGATGCTCTTTACAGACAGACACACACAATTCTCCCCCGTCCAATTCCTATTTTATTTTATTTTATTTTATAACTGAAAGAGGTTTGGGTTTTTTAGGGTCAGGTTAAGGATCAGAGAGAACACAGCTGGGATTTGAACCTGGGGAGTGTGATGCCATGGTGAATGGGGAACCTCCGCATGGACCTCATTTAAGATTTCAGTGCAATGCCAGAGAGCTCACAGAAGCTTCCTGGAGCAGGTGGTGCCTGAGCTAAGCCTTGAGGAGGAGAAAGCTCACCATGTGCAGAAACAAGAATCAATGTAACAGGTGCCTAGACTGGGTGTGTGTTTTTTTGTTTGTTTGTTTGTTTGATATATGTATATATATATATATATATATATATATATATCTTTATTTATTTATTATATTTTATTGAGTTTTTACAGAGAGGAAGAGAGAGGGATAGAAAGCTAGAAACATCATCAGTTGCCTCTTGCACGCCCCCTACTGGGGATGTGCCCCCAACCAAGGTACATGCCCTTGACCGGAATCGAACCCCGGACCTTTCAGTCCGCAGGCCGACGCTCTATCCACTGAGCCAAACCGCCTTCGGCTAGACTGGGTTCTTCTATGAGCCAAACACCATTCATTCTGCACGCGTGTTAACTCCCCGTTTGCTATACCGCGAGGGAGACCCAGGCTTGGGAGGCGGGGGGTGGGGGTGGGGGTGGAGGGGGTGGGGGGTGGGGCTGGGATATTTACATAACTCCATGTTCTGTACTGCCCTCTGGTGGAGGGGGTGGGGGGTGGGGGGTGGAGAGACCATTTAGCAGATTGCAATCAGCATTCAAAACTCAAAATGAAACATAATACGAAGTGGCAGAACGCGTTACTCCTAGCGATGATGGCTAATTTTACGACATGTGTCTTCCGGTTGCCTGCGGTGTGTGTTCAGGAACGAACATGCTGAGTGAGATCTGAAGGGCATTTCTTACCGAGGGTCACGCCCGAAAAGGCTGGGAAGGCACTGGACCTCCCAGTCCCTCCGCGCCCTCACGGCCTTCCTCCCTGCGCACACAGACTTCGAGCTGCTGCTGCTCACCTTCCCGGAGACCTCGCTGGGCGTCGTCCGCAGCGAACTCAACTTCTCGGTGGTCCTGGGGTGTGTGCCCAACCGGATCGCGCCCTCGCTCCTGATCCACTGGACCTTCCACGGGCAGCCCCGGGGCACCGGGGAGAAGCTGCTCCTCCGGCGGCTGGCCCGGGAGCACCTGGGCACCTACACGTGCTCGGCCCGGAGCAGCCAGGGACAGCCCTCCGCCAAGTCCGTGGACGTCTCCCTGCCGGGTGAGTCCCCTGCGCCCTCGCTGGCCGCTGGCCGGTCTTCCTGGCTCCCCGGGACCCCCTTGGGTGAGCTTTACAGCCACGTGGTCAGCACATCGGGCCTGCCTGGCCCGTGTGACGGATGGCAGGCTGTGGCTCAGCTCTCACGGACGCTCAGCCCATGACCTGGAGCCGGCTGCCCAGGATTGTCACCTCCTGGGCGTGACTTTTGGAGCCCCTCCGCCTCGCTGAGCCTCAGCACGTGACCGTGGGAACGTGCAGGTGCTAACGTAGCACGTGGTGCTGAGCACGGGCATGGAGTTTGAGGTCCGGCTCCACTTCCTGGCCGTGCGACTTTGGGCCATCGCCTTGCCTCAGTTTCCCCACCTGTGAAACTGGAAAAATAAGAGGAACAATCAGTCGCTATAACGCGCATTGACCACCAGAGAGCAGACGCCCTGGTGGAGCTGCGCCCTGGTGGTCCGAGTGCTCCCACAGAGCAGAAGCCGGGCTCAAGGCTGGTGGGCTCAGCGGCGGTGGGGGGACCCTCTCCCACCTCGGTGGCAGCGCTAAGGATGTCCGACTGACAGCTCAGGCCTGTTCCCATGGAGAGCAGGCCTAAGCCATCAGTTGGACATCCCCAGACTGCCAGAGGGTGCAGGCCAGGCTCAGAGACCCTTCCTCCCCCGTGTTACTGCTGCCCAGGATTCCATGCACCAAAGTATAGTTGTGAGCATTCAATGAGATAAGCAGGTGAACAGCGTAAGAGAACAGTGCCTCACGCTACTGAACCCTAGTGAATATTTGATACGCACTAGATACCCTGTTTCCCCGAAAATAAGACAGCGTCTTATATTAATTTTTTCTCCCAAAGTTGCGCTAGGTCTTATTTTCAGGGGATGTCTTGTCTTTCCCTGCGCTAGGTCTTATTTTTGGAGAATGTCTTATTTTTGGGGAAACACAGTAGTATCCTTGCTACAATTAGCATTTATCAATATTATTAACTGGAGGCCCAGTGCAGGAAATTCGTGCACTGTGTGTGTGAATGGTGGTGTCCCTCAGCCTGGCCTGCATCCTCTCGCAGTCTGGAAGTCCTTAGGGGGATATCCAACTGTTGGCCCATGGAGAGTGGGCCTAAGCCATCAGTCAGATATCTTTAGTGCTACCACAGAAGCGGGAGAGGGTCCAGCCACCACCGCTGAGCCCACCAGCCTTGAGCCTGGCTTCTGCTGAGCAGAGCTTCCCCTGTGGGAGCATACAGACCACCAGGGCGCAGCTCCTGCGTTGAGCGTCTGCTCCCTGGTGGTCAGTGTGTGTTATAGTGACTGGTTGTTCTGCCGTCCGGTCGATTTGCATGTTAGCCTTCCATTATGCAGGATTTTGTGATGGTTTCCGTAGGCAGCAGGTGCCTGAGATCCTGGGCAGCGATAACAAGAGCAGCTGGTGGCTGGGATAAGAAAAGGGGTTTGGGAGCTGGTTGAAGCTGGTTTCAATTCCTGCCCCGGTGCCCTCCTGGCCAGGTGGCTCCCGTTCTCTGAGTCTCACTTTCCTCCTGTGCATACGACTGTTGTAATGGCTGAGGTAACGCCGTGGACGATGCCGACAGAATACCTGTCAGCAGCAGGTGCTTTAACAGTCTGATGCTCTACCGACTGAGCCATCCGGACTCTGCAGCAGGTGCTTTAACTAGCAGCAATGAGCATGACTACCCTGTTTCCCCGAAAATAAGACAGTGTCTTATATTAATTTTTTCTCCCAAAGTTGCGCTAGGTCTTATTTTAAGGGGATGTCTTATCTTTCCATGCACTAGGTCTTATTTTCGGAGGATGTCTTATTTTCGGGGAAACACAGGTATTATTTTTCCTGTTTTTATTCACGGAGGACAAGTGGCTTGGAGTGGGCTAGACGGACTCAGAGGAGCTGGCCAGCAGGGAACCGGGGGAGGTGTTTGGGCAGCAGAGAACACGTGAAAAGATCCAGAGCGCGGAGAGGCGAGGGTGATAGAAAGCCTGGCTTGGCTGGGTCCCAGAGGGCTGGAGTCCGGGGGGGGGGGGGGGGGTGTTGGGGAAGGGGTGGTTCAGGATTTGGATTTGAGATGATTCACTGGGGGGGTGAGGGGGAGTATAAAACTTGTAGCACCTGGTGACCTTGAGATGTTCACTGAGAAAGATAATACTTCTAAGACCTTCTTTACTCGTTCATCAACTGTTCAGGAGACGTCCACTGAGCACCCACGGACGTAAGGGAGCAGGGGAGAGGGAAGGCTGGGGTGTGGGACCCACGGGGATGCCTGACCCAGCAAGGGGATCAGGGAGGGCCTTCTGGAGGGAGGACCTCTGAGCTGGTACTGGAACACAGAGCAGTGACCAGGCCAAAGGGAGAGAAATGGCACATGAGGGGTTCCGGGGGCACAAACAAAGGCCCAGCTGAAACCGGTTTGGCTCAGTGGTAGAGCGTCGGTCTGCGGACTGAAAGGTCCCAGGTTCGATTCTGGTCAAGGGCATGTACATTGGTTGTGGGCAGCATCCCCAGTAGGGGGTGTGTAAGGAGCAGCTGGTTGATGTTTCTCTCTCATCGACATTTCTAGCTCTCTATCTCTCTCTCCTCCTCTCTGTAAAAAATCGATAAAATATATTAAAAAAACAAAAACAAAAACAAAGGCCCAGACGTGGGGGGGGAGAGAGAGAGAGAGAGAGAGAGAGAGAGAGAGAGAGAGAGAGAGAAAGAGAGAGAGAGAGAGGTGAGCTTACTAATTTAGCGAGTCCAATGGGTGGCTTATGAAGTGGGGTGAGGAGAGAGGAGGCTGGCCAGGTGGCAGAGCCTTGAAGGCCACGGTGAGGGGTACTGGGGGGTCACGGCAAGCTTTTGAGCAGAGGAGGCACGGGTCCTGTTTGAGCCTCAGAGAGGACACGGACTTCCGTACGGTGGGACGAGGGGTGGGGAGGGGCTGGGGCAGGAGAGCAGGGAGGAGGCCTGGGCAGAGACCTGGAGGATGGGGAGGAAGGGATGGGCGGGAGCGACATGGAGGCGCGGGGGTGGCGGGAGTGGGGGTTGTGGAGGGAGGATGGTTGCTCCTGTCTCACCCGTTCTCGGTTTCCAGAAGCCGACATGGGCTCCATGGATGAGCCCATCGACCCGGACCCCGTCCTCACGCTGTCAGGAGGATCTGCCATCGCCCTCCTGGTGGCCGGATGTGTGGGGCTGGTGGTCGTGATGCTGGGAATCGGCTCCGCCATCGTCCAGATCCAAAGGTACCGTCTGTCCCCGGCCCTGGGCCTGGACCGCCCGCCCCAGCAGCAAAGCAAGCGAAACGCCTCCTCCCGAGGAGCTTCGGGCGCGTTCCGAGAGGATGGCACTGAGCCCGGAGGGCGCCATCTGCCTCCTCCGTCCCCCCCGGGGCCACAGGAGTCGGGAGAGGGTTTTGATGCTGGTCTGTCTGGTGCAAATGCCAGTTCCATTGCTGACCCGCCGTGAAGCCACTTCCCCTTTGCGTGCCTCAGTTTGCCTACCTGCAGAATGGGGAAGGCACCAATAACACCCGCCTCACAGGGCTGCTGTGAGGAGTAAACAGGCGAATATTCCTAAAGCGCCTACAACAGTGTCTGGGGTACAGACACATATCGGTTGGGCACCTGCCTCTGTGAGCCAGGGGCTGGGGATTCTGTGGGGATTAATAGTGCGGAGTCCCTGCCCCCAGGAACTCTCGTCCTAGGCAGAGGCCAACGATTGTGTGACGACCCAGGGAATGAACGACAGGCCGCATGTGGAGGCTGATGAGTGCAAAGGAGAGGAATGAGGCCGGGAGGGGGACAGGGAGTGTGGGGACTAGGAGCAACGGAGCTAAGTCAGTCCAGACATCCCCGGGAGAGGGACATGTCAGCAAGGACATGGTGCAAAGGAAAGGAGGGAGGGAGCCCGTGAGTACGAGGGAGATGGGGGGAGACACAGGGCACACCTGGCAGAGGGAACCGCCCGTACGAAGGCCTGAGGTGGGACGTGCCTGGCATGTTAACTAAAATTGCAAGGAGCCCTTGCCGGTTTGGCTCAGTGGATAGAGCGTCGGCCTGTGGACTGAAAGGTCCCAGGTTCGATTCTAGTCAAGGGCATGTACATTGGTTGCGGGCACATCTCCAGTAGGGGGTGTGCAAGAGGCAGCTGATTGGTGATTCTCTCTCATCAATGTTTCTAACTCTCTATCCCTCTCTCTTCCTCTCTGTGAAAAAATCAATAAAATATATGTATTTTTTAAAAAATTTGCAAGGAGGCCTGTGTGGCTGGAGTGGCATGAGGGATGGGAAAGAAGCATGGTCTGGGATCTGAGAGGAAAAGAAGGCACCAAACAGGGGAAGGTGTCTGGGTCCGGTCAGTACCTGGCCTTTGTTCTGAGTGAGATGGAGGTCATGTGGGTTTAGAGCCGAGGAGGGATTGAATGAATGAATGGAAGGATGAATGAATGAATGAGTGACTGCCTCTGTGGTGGGCAGAAGTGCTCAGTCGTTCTGACTTACATGTGAATCCTAGCTGTGTCAGCCATCGTCCTGCTGTAATAACTTACCTGTATTGAATGCCTGCTAGGTGCTTGCTAAACACTATTCGTTTCAGTCTCCACGAGAGAGGGCAGCAGGGCGGGGTAGCGGTGAAGATCTCGTTTTTTGTCAGAGAGGAAACGAAGGCTCGGGAAGAGGTGACTGGCTTCAGACCCCACAGCTGGAGAGAAGGGGTTCCAACTCAAAGCCCTGCCTCACTCCCAGGTCCAGTCTCCGACCCCCGCTGCCTCTTTTCTCACCACTAACAATGCACACCGTTGTAGCTTAGGGACGGAGGAAGAGAAATCTGCAAGTTGAACTGGTTTGGCCAGGCCTCGGGGCCCAGACCTCTGGTCTGCGCATTCCATGGGGAGCCTCCTGGAGGCGGGGAGGGCCAGGCTTCGGCCTGAACCGCCCCCATCACCTTCACTGTGGCATTTCCGGGATCCTCGGGATGAGCCAGGATCTTTGAGTCATGAGAACTCTCAGCGGTGGGTTCTGTTCTTGTCCTCGTTTTCAAAACGAGTGGAACCAAAACTCAGAGAAACTCATCAACTCGCCCAATGACAAACAGCCGGTACCTGGCTGACCCTGAACCAAACCCAGACCCGATTCCAAAACCAAGTTCTTAGGAAGGAAGAGTGAGAAATCAGGCTGGCGTGATCCTCCTCGCCCAGACCACCCCCATTTCCTGTCTCCCGGAGTGCGTTGGAGGTGTCACCTGTGGTCCACCCCGTCATCTTGGCCAAGACCCATTTAGTTTCAGACAACAGATCACTTCTGGCATCTGCCAGAAGGAACCAGCCTGGTTGAATTAGCAGTGACCTTGGAGATGAGGTCATGGGAACATGGGTGACTGTCTGGATGCTGCCATTGGGGAGGGGAGGTCCTCAGAAAAAGAAGGGTGGGGTGGGGTGGGGACCTCACACACACCAACCACACCCACCAAGGGCCAGCAGAGACCACTCTTGTTTGCCATGGCCAATAGGATGTGGCGGAAGTGGTGATGTGTCATTCCCCATGAAGGCCATGGATCCCAAATGAGGCTATTTGGGTCCATTCCCGCTCTGCCATGTGCTAGCGAGTGAGTCCTGTAATGCTCTGTGCCCCATCTGCAAAACAGGGGTAACGGTAATGCTTACCTCAAAGTATGGGTGTGCAAGGACCTAAGACAGTGGGAGGGAAGCCCAGTAAAGAGTACCTGGTGTACGGTCAGCCTTCAATAAATGTATTTATTATTATAGTGACTGTGATGATAATGTTTCTTCATTCCATTGCAGATCTGACAGGGGAAGGATCCAAAGATGCTGCTGAAGTGTGAGTACGTGCCTGTCAGCCTGGGAGCTGATGCCACAGAGGGTGGGAAGAGAATCCTCTGTTCAGGGATGAGATGAAGTTTCCTGGGGGCTCCATGGGAGATCTCCTCCCTCCTGGTTTCCTGATCATGTGTTTGTTGTATGTTCCCCCGTTGTTGAGAGCCCTGGGGACCAATTATCCAAGACACCCCATCTGCCCCTCTCACCCAACTCCTGGAAACCACCCCCACAAGCAGTGTATATATTTCATAAAACTCTTGGGATGCCAGCAAAAAAAACTCACTGTAGTGCCTCAATAAAAAAAATATAAGGAAGCGTTTACTATTAGGACCCAAGAAGATTTTTCAGGAATCCAAGGGTGTATCAGTTAGCACTTGCTGTGTAACAAACAATACCTTCCCATACTTAAGTCTTGAAACCACAGCTATTTATCTAGCTTCCAATTCTGTGGGCTATCAATGTTAGCTGGGCCATTCTTCTGGTCTCTGTTGGGCTCACTCATGCATCGTGGTCAGTTGGCAGACTGCCTAAGGGGTGCCTGGCATAGGATAACCTCACCTGGGAAGACCAGCCTCTCTCTGCATCTTTCTCATATCCCAGCAGGCCCACCCAAGCTTGTTCACATGACAGAGGCAGGATTCCAAGCGTGAGAACAGAAGGGGCAATGCGTGGCAGGGCCTAGGTTAGGGATTGACACATCACCACTTCTGCCACATCTTATTGGCCAGAGCAAGTCACATGACCAGCCCAGATTCAAGAGGCGGGGAATTGGGACTCCGCCTGTTAGTGGGAGGGGAAGAACCCGGTGGCCATCAGTGCTTGGACCAGGGCGGTTGCCTCTCTCTGCCTCGCATCCCTCCCTTTGCAATCCTCTCCGCCAGGAACACGGATTCACAGTTCTCTGTCTCTTTCCACAGATGGCTGCTCAGTGCTTCTCCCTTCGAGAGGAGAAAGACGCCATCCCACGGTTTCCACGCCTGTTTCAGGGAACAGCCCAACTTAGCCAAAACCCCTTTGCCTTGTTTCTGGAACAGTGGGAAAGGCATCCGGTGGGCTCACTTGTTCCCACCACTGTGGCTGGAGAGGGGGCAGGTATAATCAAAGCCCTGGGAGCTCCGAGCTACCTGTGGGGGCTCAGTGCTCAGAAAACGGGGGAGTCTGGCCTTGCAGGGCAGGTATCCCCCATATATGTCTGCAACAAGAGAAGAAGGCTTCCAAAGGCACGGAAATGGGGTGGGGTTCACCACCCCCAACAATCACACAAGATTGGCCACTGGCTTCTGAGTTGCTGGAGAATCCTGGCAGCTGGCAGGCAAGGGGGAGATGAGAATGGATGAAACTCCCATGTGGAAATACCTGACATTTGAAGAACATCCAACAGAAAGCCACTTACCATGTCATTATCCTATATAATAAAATTCTAATATGCAAATTGACCAAACTGCAGAACGACTGGTTGCTATGACATGCATTGACCACCAGGGGGCAGACACTCAACGCAGGAGCTGCCTCCTGGTAGTCAGTGTGCTCCCACAGGGGGAGTGCTGCTCGGCCACAAGCTGGGCTCACAGCTGGCAAGCACAGTGGTGGTGGCAGGAGCCTCTCCCACTTCCAGGACAGCGCTAAGGGGGCGGGCCTAAACCAGCAGTTGGACATCCCCCAAGGGCTCCTGGACTGCAAGAGGGCACAAGCCAGGCTGAGAGACACCCCTCCTAAATGCACAAATTCGTGCACCGGGCCTCTAGTGATTAATCATAGCAGTAGCAGATCCGAACAGGTGCCCGTGTGCCAGCCACCAGACACTCTGCACCTCCTGTGATTCATATGGTATATTACCCACACAGGTTGCACATGGTGGGGTTGGTCTCCGAGGCAGGCTGCCTGAAATTTCTGTTTCCAATCACCCCACTTCCCTGTTGCTCCCTCCCTGAGGCCAAACCCCTAACCCATTTCTCTAGGGTCCCCCCACCTCTTATGCCAGATAAATATCATTGTGCACATGCACAGAGGATAAAAGGGAGGCTCAGAGAGGGCAAGTGCCTTGTCCAAGGTCACACAGCTACATGTGATGCCAACTCAAGTGCGCCCAAAGCCTGTATCACAGACCAGCACTGTCCCGTAAAATACAATGCGGTTAGGGATAAGTATAATCTGAGTGGCCAGATTATTAAGATCTCTGAGCACATAATAATCTGGCCATTCAGAGTGTGTGTGTGTGTGTGTGTGTGTGTGTGTGTGTGTGTACTAGAGGCCTGGTGCATGAATTCGTGCATGGGTGGGGTCTGGTCAGGGGGAGGGGACCCAGGTGGTTGGCCGGCCTGCCTGCTGGTCGAACTCCTGGTCGAGGGGACAATTTGCATATTAGCCTTTTATTATATAGGATACACACTGAGTGGCCAGATTATTATGCATTCAGAGATCATAATAATCTGGCCACTCAGTGTACATCTGCACTGTCCAATACATGTGGCTACTGAGCTCTGTAAATGTGGATAGAGTAACCGAGGAGGTGAATTTTATGTTGTATTTACCTTCCATTAATTTGAGTTTTAATTTAGAATACCACCTGGGGCGGTGGGCTGTGGAATCAGAGGTGCAACTCTGACTCCTTATTGTTAAAAATGAATAAATCGCCCGGCAGCGCCGTGAGCAGACCGCTGGCTGTGTTTGTGGCTGTTCCGGGTCCCAGCCCTGGTCTGTCCAGAGGCCCAGCTGTGCTTGGAAGCCCCTGTGATCTAACCAGCACCTTTCCCACCACTAGAAGAGATCATTGGATCATTGCGAGATGTTTTCACACAGCCCTCCCACTCCCCACTGCCAGCCACTTATCCTACCACATAGAAGCACAGTTTGCAAAATGTATTTAGTTAGGAAACTGAGATCTAGTGGAAAACCGCAGGTTTGCCTCTCAGAGTGTGTGTGGAGGAGGGGGCCCGTGGGGAGAGTCTCGGAGGGGAGGAGAGGGACCCATGAAAATGTGTGGGAAAGTCCCCTGCTCACTGCAGAGCATTAGACCAGCAATTCTGCAACTCTGGCCTCAGAGCCATTTCATATCCTTAAAATTATTAAGGACCCCGAAGAGCTTATTTTGCATGTGGGTTGTATCGATTGTTGTTATATTAAAAATTAAACAAAAATCATTGCAGCGTTTATTATTTCATTATAAAACAATGAAGTAACCCAAGAACACCACTCCTGGGATTGGAAACAGGCCCTCAAACAAAAACTTGTTCATAAATGTGCATAGCAGCGCTGTTCACAGTCACCAAAAAGTGGAGAGAGCCCAACTGTCCATCTGCAGATCAACGGCTACACACCATGAGGTACAGCCACACAACGCAATATAACACAACCACAGAGGCAAACGAAGCACGCATTCATGCCACCACATGGAGGAACCTTGAGAACATGATGTGAGTGAGAGAAGCCAGACCCCAAGGCCACGTATTGTAGGATTCCATTCATATGAAATCTCCAAAAGAGGCAAATCCACAGAGACAGGAAAGAGATCAGTGGTTGCTGGGGCCGGGGGCGGGGGCGGGGGAGAAGCACGAGTGACCGCTTAATGGGTCCAAGGTTTGCTCTGGGTGAGATAGGAATGTTCTGGAAACAGATAGTGGTGCTGGTTGCAGAGCATTGTAAATATGCTAAATGCATTTGAGCACCTAAAGCGGTTACAATGGTACAATGGTACATTTCATGTGTGCTTTGCCACAATAAAAAACAAAACAAAACAAAAAAAAAACACTTAAAATTCTTACAGGAAATGTTTGGCATTTCGTCGCTCTCCCTTGCAGAATTTTCAGGAACCAACAAAATTCATGAAGGGAAAGATGGGTGAATTGTTAGAGAGAAAAAAAATATTCTAACTGGTAAAAACTAGAACAATGACACTTGCTAATGCATGGTAAGTGGAGGGGGCCATGGCGGTAGGCATGGGCACCACTGCCATGGGGTTTTGCTGTAGAGAGAGATTGGACTCAAGTTCAAGTACAGCATGAGCAAATGCGAAGCTGTAGCCTAGGAGCAGGCGGGGCCAGTGGATGGAAAATTACTGAGAGGGAACATCATGCATAGGAGAGGATTCTGGGTAAACCCGCCTAGCAGGCCAGAGTGACCAGACTTTACCCCGGGGATGGTGGAAGAGGGGTGCTGGAGGGTGAGACCAACAAGCAGTTAGCATAATTATGTGCGAAGTCCTGTTAGAAGGCTAATGGACTTTGACATTCAGCAAGGGCCAAAAATCAGCATGATATTGCCCTGCTTTTGGCCAAATGTCTGAAGGCCATCCCCTAACCTGATAGTCCATCATTGTTTACCAAACTTTACCTTTGATATGCCTGGCAGTATTTCCCAAACTTTTGACATATGTGTACCCCTTCTATAATTTTCCTAACGCTGAATACCCCTCGTCCTCATGAGAACGTAGAATTAGGCGCAGCTAAGCATGGTGCAGTGCATATCCCCACCAAACTCCGGTGCAACGCGTACCCCCACCAAACTCTTCCTGTACCCCTGGGGGTACACGGACCACACTTTGGGAAACACTGGCTAAAGGGAAAATGTGCATTCTAGTAAATAAAAGCGAATGAGTGCTTGCCTTCAGAGAGCCTCTCAGCTAGAGAGTAAGGTCTCCATCTGGCTCCCCCATGCCTCAAAGTTATATTTCTTGTCTAGTGTATTCATTTGTGTGCAGCCCCTTCTCCAGACCTTGAACCCTAGCCAGACATGGATGTGGTGTTCACAGATGAGGTACCTGATCAGATCTCAAGGGTGGAGAGTTCTTGTTAACCTGACTTAGGAGAATTCTTGCTGAAATTTGGACAATGCAGAGATGAACACAGAAGTCCAAAAGTCAGAACCTACTTGGAAAAAAGTTCAGGGGATCCTGAGTTGAGTTTGACCAATGAGTGAATCTTTGTCAGTATCTAAAAATACTAGAGGTTCGGTGCATTAAAATTTGTGCATTGGGGTGGTGGGGAGGTCCCTCAGCCCAGCCTGCACCCTCTTGCAGTCTAGGAGCCCCTGTGGGAGCACACTGACCACCAGGGGGCAGCTCCAGCCCCACCTCCCCATTTCCCCTCTGCTACTGCTGTTGATCGCTGTCCCCTCCATCTGTCTGTTGACACCCATCTTGCCTGGCCTCCACTGCACACTGGTTGGCCCACCTCCCTCACCCCCTGCAACTGGTTGTCCCACCCTTTGGCTGATTTGCATATTAGGCTTTTATTATATAAAATTTATGCACTGGAGTGGGGGGTTCCCTCAGCCTGGCCTGCCCCCTCTCACAAACCAGGAGCCCTCAGGGTAGCAGGTGACCCGGTGATTGGGGAAGGCAGCACCCCATCACACCTCTGCTGCTGCCACTGCCAGCAGCGCAAGCCTAAGCCAGCCCTGGTTACCTGAGCCTCGGGCGGCCCTGGGTGGCTGGGCAGCCACCATCCAAGCCTTGCCTGTGCCTTGGGCCAGCCCTGGGCAGCTGAGGGGCTGAGGGTGGGTCTGGTCACACCATGCACTTGCCTGGGATGAAAGAACTGGGGGACTCTGGCAGGGGTGAGGGGACTCGGCACTGCCATCTTGTGGCTATGGGCGCCACCATCTTTGTGATGGCATGACGATCCATTTGCATATTCCCTCTTTATTAGATAGGATAATGATCAGGATGCTTTGGGCACCAATAATAGAAAGCACACACCACCACCTCACCCAATCCCATCACACTACCACCCCCCAGTTCCCTGCCTGGGATTAAACACTGGAGTGCCTGGTTTCCTTCCAGACATCATGAGTGGAATTCAGCTCTGCCCTCTGCTGTGTCTTGTTTTCCACCACATATTGGCATCATCCTCGGGCTGGGGCCAAGGGAGCTGCTGCGTTCAGGCATCGCAGCCAGATCTGAGCCTGGAGAAGCAGCCCGCCCCATCCTGAGGAAGCTTCCCTAGCAGCCTCCCCTCATGTCTCATTGGCCAATGCACCCACTCTTCAACCAATCCCTGGTCAGAAGCAGGGGACCGCCTGAGAGGCTCGGACCAATCAGGAGACAGGGAGAGAAGGGGATGAAGGCTGCAGGACAGGAGAGGGAAGCCCCGAATATTAGCAATGACTTTCTCTCTGGTTAATTGGAAGATGGATGACTTTTACCCTCTTTTTTTTTTGAGTCTAAGTTTCTATAATAAATCTATTCTTTAAAAAAAAAAAATGGAAATGGAACCAAAGTCATTCTTGGGACAGAGAGAGAAGATTCAGCAACTGAAAATTCAGGAAAGCTGGCTTTATGCACAGCCGGGCCCTGCTTACAGTGGCAATAGGGCCGCATTGGGGTCAGTGTTAGTTCAGACGCCTGGACACCCCGGGCCACACCGCCCCTCCAGGTGGCTCAAAGTCGAGATTTCTCTCTCTCTCTCCAGCCTGGGGGTTAGGGAAGGTGCTGGGATCTCCTACTATCTGATGTGCGTCAAGGACACATACGCACCTCCATTTGGTGTTCCCTCTTCCTGCAACAGAAATCTCCCCTGGCACTGCCCTCCCCTCCCCATCTCGCCTTTCCAACCCTCAATCTTAGGCAAACGCTATTTGACAGAACTCCCACGACAATGATGGAAATGTTTTATATCTTCTCTGTAAAATGTCATAGCCACGAGTCACGAGGGACTATTGAGCATCCGAAAGTGGCTGGTTTGGGGGAACTGAGTTTCTTAAGGCATTGATTTTTAAAAAATATATATTTTATTGATTTTTTACAGAGAGTAAGGGAGAGGGACAGAGAGCTAGAAACATCGACCAGCTGCCTCCTGCATAGCACCTACCCAGGCTATGCCCGCAACCAAGGTACATGCCCTTGACTGAAATTGAACCTGGGACCTTTCAGTCTGCAGGCTGATGCTCTATCCACTGAGTCAAACTGCTTTCAGCTGAAGGCATCGAATTTAATATTAAACTGGATATATATATTAAACTATATATATATTTGTCTTGTTGTTAATTCTCACCTGAGGATATTTTTCCCATTGGTTTTTAGGGATAGTGGAAGGAAGGGAGGAGGGAGGGGGAGAGAAAGAGAGAAGCATCACTGTGAAAGAGACACATCGATTGGTTGCCTCCCACACAAACTCCAACCAGGGCCAGGATCGAACCTGCAACACAGGTATGAGCCCTTGACAGGGAATGGACCCCGAATCCTTTGGTATGTGAGCGCTTCTCAAACCACCTAGACACGCCTTCCAGGGCAACATTTATGTTACAATAGCGATGTGGTATTAGCACAACCCTGGACTCCCCGTCACCCGGATTCTGTCCCAACAGACTGACCCCTCCCACTGCTCCAGCCACCCGCCCCCTCCCACAGGCTGCCCTCTCCCACGGCCCCAGCTTACCCAAGACTCAGCAGCTTCCTCAAAGCACTGAGAGCCTTTGCTGTTTACACTCACCTCACCCTGCCCTGCCCACCCACCCCACTCTGCCTCATCCCTTCTCCTACTCCAGCTCTCAGCTGCCCCCTCCTCCAGGAAGCCCTCCCTGCCCCTCAGCTGAGGGAAGCATCCCTTTGGGTTCTCCCAGCCCCCGAGCTCCTCCATCCCAGTGCTGAGCACTCCGTACCATCCTTATCTGGAGATGGGTCTGCCCGCCCCCCCCACACACACACACACACGCAGACATGGGAGCCCCTCTGTGGACTGAGAGCAGGGCAGGAGTCGCCTGAATCATCACTGTTACCGGCACCACCCAGCCTGGAACTGGCATAGGGAGTGTGTGTTGAAATGAATGAGTAAATGAATGAATGAATGAATGCTTTTGAAAAGCCCTGCTAAGAGCTTTAGAGTGAGCTGGCCACACATCCAATCCCATCTCCCTCTTCCGGAAGACCTGCCATTCTCCTTATCCTCAGTTTCCTCATCTCTAAAATGGGAAACGTTGCCCTAACGGGTTTGCATCAGTGGATAGAGCGTTGGCCTGTGGACTGAAGGATCCGGGTTTGATTCCGGTCAAGGGCACATACCTTGGTTGTGGGCACATCCCCGTGGGGAGTGTGCAAGAGGCAGATGATCGATGTTTCTGACTACCCGTTTCTCTCTGTAAAAAATCAATAAAACGTATTTTTTTTAATGAAATGGGAAGGTTACTCATGGCAGATGTTGAAGGAGGCAGTAGTGCGTGTCAGGCCTGGGAAGGGCAGGGGCATTGCTGAACCAGAAGCCACTGTCACTGCCATTATAATCACTGCTCCTGACAGTCAGGCTGAGCAGGGAAGGATGGAAGGGCTCAGGGAGCAGTACCGGGAAACCCCAGCACATTCCCCAGTCTCTGAGGAACAGGTCCAACCGGTGTTGGCACGGGCATCCCGGGTAGCACAGGGGAAGCTCAGGAGCCTGAGCACAGGGTGCAGGGTGCCGGCTTGGCGGCTGCCCCGTGTCTGGGAGGCTCCCCCAGGGTCCTCGCTGAGCCGGTCACTGCAGACGGCCCCGCCCGCCCTCCAGCCCCCTCGGTGCCCAGCAGGTGGCACCTCCACAGGACGCCGAGATGGAGATGCCTGTGGGGACCCTGTGCCACTTCTCCAAGGGCCTCCTGCTCTCAGGTAGGGACACGCGCCCCCAACGCCCAGGCGGGCCGCTGGGCCTCAGCCCAGGCCGTGGGGTTCCCCCTTGGGAGAAGGAAACGTTGTCAGGGAGGGTGAAAGGGGGAGGAGCAGAGTCACACCCCCATCACCATTTTATCTAGGGAATGTTCTAGAATATTAGGATCATGAGGGCAGGAATTTATCTGTGTGTTCCGTTCCCTGCTGCGAACCAGGGCCTAGATATCAAGGGAATTTTAGACTTACCGAGTATAATTGGCATTTTAGCAGAAATAATATATGTGCTTATAAGTATTGGTTAGATTAGGCATGTCAAAGGCAAAGGCTAACACGGGCCAAATAGACAAGGTTTAATATTTTATTGATTTTTTACAGAGAGGAAGGGATAGGGATAAAGAGCTAGAAACTTCGATGAGAGAGAAACATCAATCAGCCGCCTCCTGCACACCTGCCAATGGGGATGTGCCTGCAACCAATGTACATGCCCTTGACCGGGATCAAACCTGGGACCTTTCAGTCTGCAGACCAACGCTCTATCCACTGAGCCAAACCAGTTTCAGCCAAAGCTTCAATTTTCATAGAAACGTAGGTTTATTTCGATGGAGACATGCTGAATACAAAGGACTGAAATAAATGAGTCGTTGGTAACATAAAAGAATAGAACATTTTATTTTTTTATTTATTTTATTTTATTTATTTATTTATTTATTTTTTAATCAATCTTTATTGTTCATATTATTACAAAAGTTCCTCATTTCTTCCCCCCTCCACCAGGTTCCCACCCCACCCTCCGCCCCCTCCCCATCCCCCATTGTCCTCATCCATAGGTGCACAGTTTATGTTCAGTCTCTTCCTCCCTCCCTTTCCCCGATAGTAAATCCCTTTTCAGATAGTAAATCAGTTACTCAGCATTTTCTCATATCAATAATACCTCCACATGCCCAATGATACACTTCACACAAAAGACATTTCCAAATAGGTCAACCAGCCTCATCCAGGCCCCACCCAAGGCACTCACAGATCAACACCCCAGCCCTATACTAACTCAACACATCCAGATCTAAGCCTTCATCACTTGATTCAGCAGACCCTCAAGTTCCCGCAAAAGTTTCCAGCCATGTCTGAGAGGCAGCCGTGGGGCAGGGGCAGGCGAGGAGCGAGCTGTTCCAGGCCTGGATGCTCCGGGCCTGGCCTCTGTTGCTCTGGTTCGTTCCACAACCAGCTGCTCCAGGTCTGGTCACTGCTGCTAACTATTGTAGTTGCTCTGGACTTGGCTGCTGCTGCTCCGGGCCTGGCCGCACCCGACCCGGCTGCTCCGGGCCTGGCCGCTCCCAGCCTGGCCGCTCCCAGTCTGGCAGCCGCTGCTCCGGGCCTGGCTGCTCCCAGCCTGGCAGCTGCTGCTCCAGGCCTGGCCGCACCAGACCCGGCTGCTCCGGGCCTGGCCGCTCCCAGCCTGGCCGCTCCCAGCCTGGCAGCCACTGCTCCAGGCCTGGCCTCTCCCAGCCTGGCAGCCGCTGCTCCAGGCCTGGCCGCACCCGACCCGGCTGCTCTGGGCCCGGCTGCCCCGGGCCGGGCCTGGCCGCTCCTGGCCTGGATGCTCCGGGCTAGGCTACTGCTGTTCTGGACCTGGTTGCTCCCAACCCAGCTGCTCTGGGCCCAGCTACTCCGGGCCCAGCCACTCCGAGTCTGGGTATTCCTGGACTGGCCACCCTGGGCTTGGCCGCCTCCGCCTCAGGCCTGGCTGCCACTGCCCCAGGTCTGGCTGCTCCAGTGCTGGCTGTTGATGCTCTGGTTCTGGCTGCTGCTGCTCTGGGGTCTGGCCGTTGCTGCTCCGGGCCCAGCTGCCACTGCCTTGTACCTGGCCACTCTAGGCCTGGCCACCGCTGTTCCAACATTCTGTCCTTTTAAAAAAAAAAAAACAAAAAAAAAACAACGCATTTATGTTGCAATGTTGGCTGGTGAGTTGAGTTCTGACTTAGTCTTTGATTTTTCAAGATCTTCTTTGTATTCTTTCTTAAGTAATTTTACTATCTTTTGCTCTCACTTGATTTCTTCACATTGAGAACTTCTTTGGTTTCTTCCTCCTTGTCCTGGGAGCTCAGCAGGTTGGCCTGTGGCACCCCTTTGTTCTCCGCGGGCTCCTGCGCTGCTTCAGCCTGTTGCAGGGGGTCGGCGCCGCCCAGGAAGCAGCCCCTGGCCTTGGCTCCGTTGCCCGCGCTCAGTGGTCGAAGGCTCAGGGGCACCCCCGCCCTGGGGGCCCCATTGCCCAGCTCCTTGCTGGTGCCCGGCTGGCCGGTGTCCGGCAGGGGCTCCTGCTCCTTGTCGCATTCCTCCAGTCTGAAGCTTTTTTTCTCCTTCCCGCTAGGGGAGTCTAGGATCAGAGTCAACAGACTGTCCTCTGCGCGCAGTGTGCGCGACTCCGGGGGCTCCGCTTCTCGCAGCTCCCCCAGGATTCCACCTCACAGCCCCGTCTCCCCCTGCCTGAGCCTGGGTCCCCAGGGATTGGCCTAGAACTGGAGTTCAGAGCAGTCCGGACTGAGGCTCAGCGCCGCCGGAGGCTTTGTTTCTTCCCGCCAGGGCAATACAGCATCAGAGTCAACATTCTGTCCTCTGTAGGCATTGTGCGCGTCTACGCACAGTGTGTGCGACTCTGGAGGCTCCGCTTTTCGCCGCTCCCCTGGGATTCCACCTCACAGCCCCATCTCCCCCTGCCTGAGCCTGGGTCCCCAGGGTCTGGCCTAGGACTGGGGTTCAGAGCAGTTGAAACTGGGGGCGCTCCTGTTTCCTTCCCTCCAGGGCAATCCAGCATCAGAGTCAACATTCCTTCCCTTGTGCGCAGTGTGCGTGACTCCAGGGGCTCGGCCTTTCGCCGCTCTCCCAGGACTCCACCTCACAGCCCCGTCTCCCCCTGCCTGAGCCTGGGTCCCCAGGGATTGGCCTAGAACTGGAGTTCAGAGCAGTCCGGACTGAGGCTCAGCGCCGCCAGAGGCTTTGTTTCTTCCTGGGAGGGCAATACAGCATCAGAGTCAACATTCAGTCCTCTGCGCGCAATGTGCGTGCGACTCCGGGGGCCCTGCTTTTCACCGCTCCCTGGGATTCCGCCTCACAGCCCCGTCTCCCCCTGCCTGAGCCTGGGTCCCCAGGGTCTGGCCCATATCTGGGGCTCAGCGCTGCCGGTTTGGGGGTTCAGCCCAGGCTGGGGGTTTTATTTCCTTCCTGCTAGGGAACGCCAGGCAGCACCCAGCCCTCTCCTCCTCTCCGACTGCGTCCTCTCTGCGCCTGCGTGCGTGCGGGCATGCAGCATGTCTCCGTACCTTAGGCTTTTTCAGCTCCTCTGATTTTCCTTCTGGTTTTCTCTTTCCTTCTTGTTGTAAAATTTTCAGTCAGTCGACTACCTGTAGCTCTGGGCAAGGTCCACTCTACATTTTAGTTGTATTCCATTGAAATTGTTGTGTGCTGCTGCGGTTAGGTGTCTACCCGAGCAGCCATCTTAGATCATCCTCAAGAATAGAACATTTTAATAAAAATTAATATTTTTTCTTGAGCGTGAACATACCAGACACTGAATAACTGCACAAATTAATAAGCATAATGCAAATAAACCTATTTTTCTTGTTCTCCAAAAGCAAAATATTTCCTGTTGTGCACACCAAACAAGTCAGTCCAAGACTAATGATGTGGCAGTCGGCTGCTAAAATATTCGCTGCTGGTATTAGTGGAGAGAAATGGTGCACCTGCACATACGGTGCATAAGGGAAATGAATGCAACATGATTATAGTAATCAGCCATTATCGGATACTGTAGTTCATTATTAATAACTAGTGCCCCAGTGTATGAATTTGTGCACGTTGAAAGGAAATTAATTAGAATATTTTAATATCACTATTCACCCTTTCTTTATAAGTATCAACCAAATTCATGATCGATAATGACAGATCGAAACACACACGTGGGATTGGTGCCAGCAAGAGCTTTACATGTATTGCCAATGTGCGAGTCAACTTAGCCTTTTATAGATATAGAACAAACGTGTTTAATTAGACCTGCTTTCTGACGTAGCTAAATTTTTGCCAGCCCAGTGAAGCATTCCAACGTATGTTTCACGTAGTTGTCAGCAACACAGCAGTAAATATTAACACAAAGCAGGTTATCACTATAGATCACGCAGGGAGAACAAAGGGTAAAATATGTAACTGCAGCAGTGTTTGACTATATTCTGCACAGTGAGAAAACCTGAAGTCATTCTCAAGGCCCACCATTTCTTTCTTCTTTTCAGTCAGGTCAAGTTTCTAAGTTTTCTAAATCTCAGTTTTCTGGCTAATGGAAATAAAATAGGATTCCACTGAGTCTCCTATCTACCTACTCCAGGACTTCTGTGAGGATCAAATGAGATGAGGCACGGAAAAAAGCTTCACAGACATTTGGTTGAAGTGTAAAATGTTTTCTCCTATGTTCCTGGAACTCCAAGGAGGCTAGTCGCTAGGGAGAGAAATCCGGGTGTTGCCATGTGATGTCATTACCCAGCACCCACAGCGACTGTTTCCAAACTGGGCTATGTATGGGCTGCATTTCGCACCATGGGATCTCGGCAGCATTGGCTGTGATTTTATGGGTTGTTGCTCCAGGGTGGTGGCAGGGCCTGTGTCCCACTTGGGGAAAGCCAACTGTTGCTTTGTGAGTGCCAGATCCATGGTGCCATTTCTCTGTGCCCATCATAGCAGTTCCTGCATTGAGCATCTGCCCCCTGGTGGTCAGTGTGCGTCATAGCAACCAGTCGGAAGGTGGGAAGGACACAGCATATTAGCCTTTTATATAGATTATTTATAACAGGATATTGTAAAAATTAAGTTATGACATTTTTATTAAAACGTTTCTTACATACTGTTATATTGGCTTGGCTGCAAAAATGTTCATTGTGGGCCTCTTGCGGCCCACGGGCTGTGAGTTTGACATGCTTGGGTTAGATGAATGAAGTAATGAATTCAGAGACTCCCAGTGCTTAGAAGCAGGCCACACAGCATCTCAGGGCAGAAAACCTCCTGGACCAACAGGATGGCAAATCTGTGGCATCCACACCCACGTCTCCACTCCGGAACCCAGGGCAGACATTACTAATCAATTCCAGCACTGTTCCCAAAGAGCAATACTCAGAGAGAGAGAGAGCTCTTTCCCTCAGCGGAGGACTAACAGGGCAGAGAATGCTATGGTTCCTGCCCAACACACCTCCCATCTCAGGCCTCCCTGTCACTCCCTGCAGCCTCCGTCCTGGCCCTCTGGGCCCCCCAAGGCTCCTGGGCAGCCCTCCGCATCCAGAAGATCCCGGAGCGACCTCAAAAGGACCAGGACGTCCTCCTGTCTGTCCAGGGCATCCCAGACACCTTCCAGGACTTCATCTGGTACCGGGGGGAGGAGACGGACGGAGGCACAAGGCTGTTCACCTACATCCCGGACCTGCCGCGGCCCCAGAGGGATGGCAGCGCCATGGAGCAGCGTGACATCGTGGGCTTCCCCAATGGCTCCATGCTCCTGCGCGACGCCCAGCCCAGGGACAGCGGCACCTACCACGTGGAGGTCCACATCAACCCCGAGTGGACCATGCGGGCCAAGACGGAGGTCCAGGTGCCCGGTGAGCGCTGGGGGCTGGGGGCGGACGTGGGGAGGCTCCTGGGCCCGGTGCAAACACGTCCTCTATTTAACACACGTGGATGGAGCACTTCCTGCGAGCCAGGCTCTGAAGGCGTTTACTCCCCAAGGGCATGAGCTGACAAAGCATCTGTTGAAGGACAGACACAGAGACAGACCTGGCGAGGGGACCACCTCACTTACTCCTCACACGCGCTCATTCACGAAACATTTATTGAGCACCTAGGGTAGGGGTGTCGAACTCAATCAGAGAAGGGGCCAAAATCTAAAATCCAGCCTAAATCGCGGGCCGAATGGTTTACTGAACAGTCATAAACTGTCATTGTGATGGAAACGCAGCGGCGTGCAGTGATGACAGCGCGGTGCGGGCCACATTGCAAGGCCTGGCGGGACGGATTTGGCCCGGGGGCCTTGTGTTTGACACATGTAACCTAGGGTATGCCCGGTCCAGAGTGCAATCTTCATACTCACACAGCAAGTGTTTTTTTATGAATCCGCTCTGGACAAAGCACAAGAGACAAGGTACTGGACAGCAGCAGCGGCTGCCATTCTTGGGGCAGTTACTGTTGTAAACATGCCCTCGGGCAGGGGTGGACCATGTAGGGCCAGAGGGCTGTTAAGACCCCTGAAACCATTTGGTCCGGGCCCTGCCAAGGCACTAGGGATGAGTTAATTGTTTGACAAAATACAGCAGGCTATTTTTTTTCTAATGGGTGGATCTTTTATTCAATATATTTTTATTGGTTTCAAAGAGGAGATGCGAAAGAGAGAGAGATAAAAGCATCGATGATGAGAGAGAATCATTGATCGGCTGCCTCCTACACGCCCCCTACTGGGAGTCGAACCCAAAACCCAGGCAAATTGAACTGTGACCACCTGGTTCATAGGTCGAGGCTCAACCACTGAGCCGTGTGGAGGGCGCTGATTTTTCAGTGGATGATTTCTTACTGCCACACATGATGTTAGACATGTCCCAGTGGCCCTTGGGAGAAAAACGGTCCCCACCCTTGCCAGGCACTAGTGACATTTTGAACTGGTTGATTCTTTTTCTTTTTTTTAAATATATTTTATTGATTTTTTACAGAGAGGAAAGGAGAGAGATAGAGAGCTAGAAACGTCAATGAGAGAGAAACATCGACCAGCTGCCTCTTGCACACCCCCTACCGGGGACGTGCCCGCAACCAACGTACATGCCCTTGACCAGAATCGAACCTGGGACCTTTCAGTCTGCAGGCCGACGCTCTACCACTGAGCCAAACCGATTTCGGCTGAACTGGTTGATTCTTTACCGCAGGGGCTCTCCTGTGCCCTGTGGGCCACGGAGCACATCGCTGGCCTCTCCCCACCGGATGCCAGGAGAACCAAAATTGTCTCCAGACGTTGCCAGGTGTCCCCCGGGGGCAAAGTCACCCCAGTTGAGAATCACTGCCCTAGAGGAACTCATTTTTAGCTGTAAAAACCTCCAGGATATGTTATAGTCGCCCTAGCCTGTTTGGCTCAATGAATAGAGCGTCAGCCTACAGACTGAAGGGTCCTGGGTTCGATTCTGGTCAAGGGCACACGCCAGGGTTGTGGGCTCCATCCGCAGTAGGCGGTGTGCAGGAGGCAGCCGATTAATATTCTCATCATTGATGTTTCTATCTCTCTCTTCCTCTCCCTTCCTCTCTGAAATCAATAAAAATATATTTTTTAAATGTTATATGTCAATTATATTTCAAAGAAGCTGGGGGGGGGGGCCAATAATAAGCAGACTCGATCACTCATCATCTATGTCCCCAAAGTTACCTCTGTGAATTTCATAATGAATTCTAATATATCAGTTCACATGGTGGTCTCCCTAGGAGAGAAAGTCTTCAAAATGAGAGAAATAGAACATACTCATCTTTTTATCATCCAACATCTACCACCGTGTGTGGAACATAATACACTGAGTGGCCAGATTATTATGATCTCTGAATGCCAAAGAGCCGCATGTGGCTCAGAGAGCCGCAGTTTGCCGACCACAGACTTAGGCCACGTGAATGGAGAGTTCTGGTCAGCTTGCATCTGTACTGCTGCCCATCCTGATCCAATCAGCTGTGGCAAGGGCTGGGTCTCTACTGATTGGGGAATATGTTAATGAGGCCCAAGGCAGAACTGGGGTTGGGTTCAATCCCTCCGAAAAGCCTGTGAGTTACTATTTTTCCCAAAGTTCATTGCACCCGTATGCTCTTCTGGGAAGCCAGCCATGAGGAAAAGGTGTGTCTGGACTCTCCTCGGCCGGTTCATCAGAGAGATTCCAGAAGAGCTGACATGGGGAAGTGAGGAAGAGGTACAGCACAGGGGGAGAGCATGCCAGGCAGAGGGGACAGCATGGGCGGAGGCCGGACGACCAGCAGAGTGAGGAAGGGAGTTGGGGGGATGCCAGTGGGTTGGTGGGCTGGGCAGCAGGTGGCTCTGGATACTGTGGGAAGATGGGGCGATTAGTGAGAGGAGGGGGAAGGACAGGCGCTGGGAGTCTCCCTGAGCCAGAACACAGCCGGTCTTGCCCCACCTCCTGAGTCACTCAGGGAAGCCCCTGAGTTGTACGGGCTGTTCTGGGGATTGGGTAAGCTGGAAGGGGAAAAGTGGCTGGGACAGCTTCTGGAAAAGGAAACAGCTTTCTAGCCTCTGCCCAAACAGACCCCCTGGGCCTTGGATTGTACATCTGCAAAACGCGTCTAACTTAGCCATTCCCTGGGGATGGAGACTACTTCTGAACGTGCCCAAATACCAGGCAAGACTGGGCACAGGCTATCCGCTTCCCCCCGTGACAAGAATAAAGTTTAAAGTGGGTTTTGAACACTTTGAACAGATAAACTTCTAGGGAGATGGATGAAATATGCAAACATTTATTAATTTGAATATGAGAGAGAGAGAGAGAGAGAGAGAGAGAGAGAGAGAGGCTCTAGTCCATTTGGAAATGACAGTCTTGACCTGCTCAGAGCCTGACATAGCTCATCCCCACCATTCCAGGGCTCCGAGGACTCAGCCGTCTTTTAGAAGCCACACAGAGCGGCTATTAGCCCAGGCGGCCCAGTGTGATCGCTCACCGTGAGCCCTCAGGAAGGCCATTCACCTCTCTGTGCCTCCTCTGTCAATGGCATAGAGTCTGCTTTGTTGGAGAATTGAGGGGTGTGTGTGTGTGTGTGTGTGTGTGTGTGTGTGTGTGTGTGTAAACTCATTCAATCTTCACAACAACCCTATAAGGGAGGTATTCGTATTATCCCCATTTCTCAGATGGGAAAACTGAGGCACGGAAAGGTTGAGCAATCTGCCCACATTCAGCATAGCCAGTAGGAAGCAGGGACTCGAACCCCAGGATCCTGACCTCAGAGTCTATGAACTAAGCTGCCCAGAAAGGTCAGGACATAAGTGTCCAACTTGATACTAAAGGCTGGGGCCCTCGTAGTGGGTGTTAAAAGTCAGGTAGGCTTTGTCCCAAATCTGGCATGCTGAGTTTGAGAACCCTTCAAGTTGAGTCCCCTATAGTCCCCCCCCCCCCCCAAAGAGAGAAACATCGATGTGAGAGAGAAACATCAAACAAACATCGAACATCAATTGCCTTCCACACGTGCCCTGACAGGGAATCGAACCCACAGCCTTTCTGAGCCACAACCTTGCTGGCATGTTGGGTTCTCTGTGCAGCGGGAGAGAGAGCCCGGGGTGGGAAGCTGCAGTGACACATCGGTGCTCTATGATCGCTCTCCTCCTCCTCAGAAAAGTCCCCGGAGCTGCCCGTGACACGCCTGCCCATGAGCACGGAGGTCGTGGCTGCCATCCTCATCGGGTCCCTGGCCGCCGCGTCCCTCCTCGTCGGCAGCATTGCCTTTCTCCTGGTGACGAGAGGCAGGAGGGGCCAGAGGCACAGGTACAGGGCCCCGGGCCACTCTGCGTCCCTTCTGTCTCCTCCCCAACCCCCTCTCACCCCATCCCATTAACTGATTCTCCACAAGGAATCCTCTGGCTCCTACACAGTCTCACCAAAGCTTGGAACTCCTGAGGTGAGAGGCTCTTTCTGTCCGGTATTAGGCAGGATTCTGCTTTGCAGGGGACTATACCCCGAGGCTTCAACTGGCTTACGGAGAATTAGCAAGTGTTTTGGTCCTACATGAGCTTCAGGTACGGCTGGATCCAGGGACTCAACTTTGTCAGGAAACTCTCCATACATCTCTCAGCTCTGCTTTCCTCTGCGGGGCTTCATTCCCAGGCGTGATGAGAAAGGCCCCGGTGGCTCCAGGTTTATCCCCCCTCAGCTCAACGGCTGCAGAGGAAGGACCGGGCAGGTTCAGGGTGCGGGGCCGAAAGAGAAATATTAAGGAAATGGTGAGCAGGTGGATGGAGCAGAATTGCTCAGATAGTCTGCATAAATGTGACTTTGGGGGAACATTGCTCGTTGGCATAAGGTGGAGGCTGGGGAAACTGAGGAAGGGCTGTGTGGCAGGGGATTATGGGGGAAGAGACGTGGGCAGGGACAGGCCTCGTCCTGGCTCACTCAGAAGCAGGGACCATGGCTCTCTGGGGTCTGGAGGGCTTTCCGGCTCCCCTGAGCCTCTCTCCACCCCCCTGACATCATCACTGCACTAACCTTGGTTCCTCCCCTCACCCCCAGGATGGTGACCACAGAGAAACCGGAGCTGGGCCCCAACCACAACACTGGTAAGCCAGGGCCCCGTCTTGCTACCTGGGCATTCGTGCCTCCTTCCTCTTCTCCCCCAGCAACAACCCCCTTGCCTTCCCCTACTGGGGGCCTCCCAAACACCTGCCTCACCCGCCCTCTCTGGGGCCCCCAGACTCAGTTCACAGATTCTGAGGAAATCAGCTCCACCCAAACCTGTTTATCTCCTGCTCAGTGTCTGCCACTCTCTGTCCCCAGACACCACACTCACCAACAGCCTCAGCCCACCTCCGCTCCTTTTCCCACACCCCACTCCCAGCTCCTCGTTCTAACCGTGTCACTCTACTCAAAGGCCTCCATGGCTCCCCAGTGCCGGAGGATGAAGTCCGGGCTCCCCAACCTGCCTCTCAAGGACTCCCATACGCCAGCCCCCACTGGCTTTCCTGGCTTCACCTCTCACCTATGACATCCCCATCCTCAAACATACAAGCAGAACAGAACAAATATATACACATCCAGACTCAACAGACCCATTACAGTTCCTCACACACGGCAGGCTTGGGCTGACCCAGTGGCTCAGGTGGTTGGAGCATTGTCCAAAAGGCTGCAGGTTCGATTCCCGGTCAGACCACCTACCTAGGTTTTGGGTTCGATCCCTGGTCGCGATGATGCGTTTGGGAGGCAATCAATCAGTGGATGTTTCTGTCTCCCTCCCTTCCTCTCTTTAAAATCAATGTCACATGCCCGGCTGTGCGCTCAATCCCCAGTGTGGGGCGTGCAGGAGGCAGCCAATCAATGATTCTCTCTCATCAATGTTGTTTCTCTCTGAAATCAATTTAAAAAATTAAAAACAAAATAAAAATAAAATCAATATAGTATATCCTGGCGAGGGAGAAGGGGAAACAAACAAACAAACAAACAAACAAACAACAAACATGGCGGGTCTCTCACTGCTGGGCCTCTGCATGCACTCCTGTGGCCTGTGCATAGCTCTCACTTCTCTCCCAGTCTCAGATGGTCCCTCCTCCAGGAAGCCCTCCCCACAGCCCTCCAGGGCAGGTCTGTCCCCCCACTGGACTGCGAGCCCGGGCTGCCTTCGTCTCTGCTGGGCGGGGAGAGGGGTTCGCACCACTGTTGGGTGAATGAATGAATGGGTGCCGATAGCAGCCGAGTGGGCCTGTGGGCCACCTGTCAGCTGTCCCTCCCCTTGTCCTCTGCTCCAGGTGACGACAACATCTATGAGGCGGTGCGGTCCCCGGTCCTCCTGGCGTCCCCCCTCCATGGCCCGGGGTCCCTGGGCGCCGCCTCGGTGAGCCCCACCTCTCCCCCAGCCCGCTCCGCCCTGGGGCCTCCCCTCCACCGGCTGTGCTGCCCCTCCAGCATCCTTCTTCTTTAAAGGCCAGAGGAGCCCTGGCCGGTGTGGCTCAGTGGATAGAGCGTCGGCCTGCGGACTGAAGGGTCCCGGGTTCGATTCCGGTCAAGGGCACATGCCAGGATTGTGGGCTCAATTCCCAGTGGAGGGCATGCAGGATAAAGCCGATCAATGCTTCTCCCTCATCATTGATGTTTCTCTCTCTCGCTCCCTTCCTCTCTGAGACCGAGGGCCGTTTCCCTCTGGTCTCTACTTCCTGCCCAGAGCATAGAGTCCTTTTCCCCGCAGGGGGAGGCTCCAGAAAATAGGAACGAAATGAAGTAAGAGGAGAAAAACCTAAGAAGCTAAGACTGAAAACGTGGAGCCACGTGCTGACAAGGAGGCTGGGCGTTATTGGGGGATGGTCAGGCTGCGGGAGGCGGTGCCCTCTCACCCATTTCTCAGAGGAGAACACTGAGGCGCAGGGCGGGGCCCTGGGGAAGGGAAATGACACTACCGGGCAGAAAGGGGGGGGGGGAGGAAGTGGGAGGGGGGAGATGCCAGGCCTGGCTCACCTGTGTTCTTCCTTCACAGCCCCCGCCCCTGCAGCCCCCGCCCCTGCAGCCCCCGCCACTGCAGCCCCCACCCCTGCAGCCCCCGCCCCTGCAGCCCCCACCACCGCAGCCACCACAGCCGGAGGACCACCACTACCAGGTGCGAGGCGGGGAGGCAGGAGGGTGGGGGGACCCCGTGGAGCTGGTGCAGAGGGGTCAGGAAGACCCAGGGGCACACAGCAGTCAAGGCCCATCCCTCTGCCAGGGTCTCAATCCCTTCAGACCTCCCACCCCCACCCCCGTCTGCCCCTGGGTCTCTGTCTCCCTCTCTGTGCCTGAGTCTGTCTGCACATCCCCGGGTATGTCTCCCTACCCCCCCCTCTCCCTCCGTCCCTCCCTCCCTCCTTTTATCTTTCTCTCAACTCTCTATCTCCTCACACTTCTTGTTTCTCTGTGTCCTCTCATCCTTCTCTGAATCTTTCTCTCTCATTCATTCATCTATGTCGCCCCCTCCCTTGAAGGAAGACAGGCTGGTGCTAGTTCAGGGTCTTGAGCTTCTTATTGATAGGTTTGGAGCAGGTCAAACACTTTTTCTGGCTCTCCCAGTCCCTCGTGTCTCTAAGCCTCTTTCCGTCTCGGCTGCCATCCTCTATATGGATGTGTCTCCCCCTGTGTCTCCCAGTCTCTAGCTGGTTCTTCTGTCTTCCCCCGACTCTCACCCCAACAACAGTCCCTCTCTCTCTCTCTCTTTCCCCAGGAACTGCTGAATCCTGACCCTGCCCCTTACTGCCAGCTGGTGCCAACCCCCTGAAGGGTCCCAGCCAGGCCTCCCCAGGGACCGGGCAGGACCAGGCCGGTGCCCAGCGGGGACAGGAGACCTGCAGCGCCCCTCCTCTCGCCCACCCTCTGCGTGTGCCACCCGCCCATCACCTGGCCCTCCAGCAGCCTGGCCTAAGCCCTGAGCTGGGACAGGGGTCGGCAAACTCATTCGTCAACAGAGCCAAATATCAACAGTACAACGATTGGAATTTCTTTGGAGAGCCACATTTTTTAAACTTAAACTTCTTCTAACGCCACTTCTTCAACATAGACTCGCCCAGGCCGTGGTATTTTGTGGAGGAGCCACACTCAAGGGGCCAAAGAGCCGATTGTGGCTCGTGAGCCACAGTTTGCCGACCACTGAGCTGGGAAAAGCAGGCTCTTGCTTACTCCCCCCCCCCCCCCCCCCCGCTCCTCCACTGGGATATTTGGGGGTGAGGAGGGTGGTCTGGGGCATGCCTCCAGCCAGACCTCCCAGGCGCCCACTTGGGGGGACTCAGGCCTGTCAGCCAACAACACCCCCCCCACACACACACACTTCCTGGTTGCCCTCCCGGCCCCTTCCCCTGGGGGCAGGGCAACCCCCCAACACACACACACATGCAGGGAGGGCTGGCCTCCCAGGGCTGGGGCCCAGGGGACAGTCCTGGGCAGTGAGGAGGGCTGGCCTCCCAGGGCTGGGGCCCAGGGGACAGTCCTGGGCAGTGACGAGGGCTGGCCTCCCAGGGCTGGGGCCCAGGGGACAGTCCTGGGCAGTGACGAGGGCTGGCCTCCCAGGGCTGGGGCCCAGGGGACAGTCCTGGGCAGTGAGGAGGGCTGGCCTCCCAGGGCTGGGGCCCAGGGGACAGTCCTGGGCAGTGACGAGGGCTGCCTCAGCCCCGCCCTCGCAGGCGGGTCCCAGCCCTCTCTAACCTGCGGCCCTGGCCCTCTTCCGCCCGCTGCCCCCACCTTGGGTCTCACCAAATCCCTCAGGGCAGGACTGCCTTTTCTACCCCATCCCACCCCCACTCCCAAATGGGAGCCCCATCTCTGGCCCTTAGTTCACTCATTCATTCATTCAGCAATAAGCAGGCTGTGTGGCCATGCCCAGTTCTGGATCCTGCTGCTCTGGCAGGGAACAAAGGGGAGAAAATGCTCTCCTGGAGGGATGATCTGACAGGGGAGAGAGTCGGGGAAACTAAGAAACTAACGTAGCCCTAGCTGGTTTTGCTCAGTGGCTAGAGCATCCGTCTGCGGACTGAAGGGTCCAAGGTTCGATTCTGGTCAAGGGCACATGCCCGGGTTGCGGGCTCGATCCCCAGTCCCCATGGGGTGCATGCAGGAGGCAGCCGATTGATGATTCTCATCATTGATGTTTCTGTCTCTCTCCCTCTCTCTTCCTCTCTGAAATCAATAAAAATATATTAAAAGAAAAAAAGAAAAAAAGAAAGAAAAAGCCAGAGCACAACCTTCATCATTTCACTTGTCTGTCTGCTGACACCTTCTATCAGGGGTAGGAAATGATTAAGGAGCGGGATGGGGGGTAGGGAGGGAGGGGTATGCCTGGGGGAAAGACAGAGAGACAGGGTGGACAGAGGCTAAAGCAAAGGGAGTAAAAATAATAGGGAGTCTTGCCGTGGGGCCCTGGGGAAGCGGGGGAGGGGGTTTGCAAGGCGTCACACAGTGCAGCAAAACAATGCCGATCACCCACCTGACCCGTCTTGAAATGTGGACCAAGGAGTCTGGGACTCGCAGGAAAGCCGCCTGGCGCCATGAAGGCGAAGGCCCCCAGCGGGCAGTGGGCTGAGGCGGGGTCCCGAGGCCTCTCCAGTCCCCGAGGGCACACCATCACCCGCCCCGCCAGGAGGGGGAGCGTGAGCACCCGTGTTAGGACCCGAAAGACAGTGAACTGTGCCGGGCAGGGCGAAGCCAGAGGGAACTGGAGGAGGTCAGAGCGGTCCTGACAGTGCAAAGAACCATCTAGTAGCCGGTTCCTTCCGAAGTTTCCCTCGGGATGGCTGGTGTTGTGGGGCCAAACCCTGGGTTCAAAATAAGGCCACCAGAGGCTGATGATTGATTAAAAAAAGCAGGTAAGGATTTATTGAAAAACTGGCCAGGACATCCGCAAGAGCACCACATGCAGGTGGACTCCACATGACCGCACAGTTCCAGGGGTAGGCAGGCCTTTTAAAGGTCTAAACCACAAGAATTTTCCTTTGTTCTGAATTATAAATTCTAAATGCTGGGAACAGCCCACAGGGTCGTTCCCAGCCACATCCTGCTGGACACTGGAATGTGGCCCTATCTTGTGAAAGCAGATAGTACAGAAGCAGAGCTG